ATCATCATCATCATCATCATCATCATCATCATCATCATCATCATCATATATTTTATACTCTTGGACTAGTAGAATGACAAATGAGTAACTGCAATGACAAAATTGATATAGTAGTAGGGAGAAGAATGGAGCAAGAACAAATAGAGCTAATTCTTAAAAAAAAAACACAGGGAATGGCTTCATTTCTGGCTGCACATGGAATTGAAAAATATATAGTAGTGATTACTATATAGATCAGAAGTAGAAATCGGGGTCCTCCAGATGCTGCAATTCCTAGCATCTTCAGAATTTGAGGTTTTAACTGAAGTTGATGACCACCTATTTAACTGTGCCTGAAGGGTAAAGATTTTCTACATGTGCTCTAGATTTTCCACATTTCAGTATAAATTCAAGAAAGCAAATTCTTAACCGTTAGGCATATTTGGAGATCCTTGTTCAACATTTGGTACCCTCTGAATAATATGTCATTGTGATCAGAAAACTAATCAGTGACTTAGTTCAGAGCTTTCCAAGCTTCTTGATATATTGCAGCCTTAATATCTCAATAATTTTTTCACTGTGCCCTGCAAATATCCAGATATCTAGATGCCCCTGTGAATTTGATGCAGTAACCCAGGGTACCACAGCACATAGTTTTGGAGCTGTAGTTATTAGGTACCAAGAATATACAAATTCCTGCATACATTCTGTTGGAATCTAATTTTGGTATCCATCAGACTTTTGTTGATTAGAACTACCTTTTGCATCAGATTAAAAGCTTCTGGTTAGTCATGAATGGGGTTAGTCATAATTATTAGTCATTGATTAATCATAAATGATTAGTTAATCATAAATGGGAGCAAAATACTGTTCTGACAGTTCTGAAAGTACTTCACAAATAGTGATAAATATGTTGAAATATTAGACTATATTGAAAGGGTTTACATTTCAACATTTATCTCTGAACTCTCAGAATGAAATTAAAATGTAATATGTCACAGAGATATGATGTCAGAAGAAACCAGACTGACCAGATTCTAAGCTTTTTCTTTCATTAAAGCTGTTGTTGTACCTACTGCAACCATTTAGATAATAGTATTTATTGAGCAAATCTAAACTGTATTGATTGGTCTTGAGATGCTGGTCTCCTCTGCAGACCAGCATCTTATATAGAACTTTTGGGTATCACTGGATAGCAATTTATGTTCTCTATATATGTATTTATTTTCTATTTACTGTGTATATAAGCTGCCTCAATAAACTAGGATGACAAACAACATAACTGGTATACACAGTTAAAACCATAATATAAAGTGCATACAAATACAAGTTGAAATTAAATACTCAAAAGGCAAAGGAGCTGAATGCTGACTATAATAACACGAGTTTTCATTTGCTTCATAAATACAAGAAAGGGGAACCTAGCCTTACTTAGGAAGGTAAGATGTTTCAAAAAATTAAGTCCCACACTGAAAAGGCCTATACCTCACAGACCTTGCAGAAAAGAAGTGTGGTAAGGGCTGTCCCTTTAAGTGTTCATATTATAACTTGGTTGCCTGATATAAGCCAATGCAGCCAGTGAAAGGTTTAAAAGCAATTACTAGGATTTTGAACTAGTCTGGAAGCTAGCCAGCAGCCAATGGAGAACAGATGTAATTCTACTCTGTTAGAGGTTGTCTTATAAGAAGCCTATTACCACATTTTGTACCAATGTAGGTTCAGAGATACTTCCAAAGACAGACCCATGTAGAGCATATTACAGTAGTCTAACCATGTGAATCAAGGCATGAATCCTGAGGCATAACTTACAGAGCAACCAAAGCTCAGCAAAAGTCCACCCAGCCACATGCTGTTTCAGAAAGAACTGTTGAAAATTTACCTTTATTGGTGATATCGACCAAATTAAGTGCTGAACTGCTTTTAGGTACTAGATGATTTTTCCATAGCAGTACAAGAAAAACACATGGAGATGGCAAATAGCCACCTGTCCAAAGATCTTAAAATCTTAGGAAAATTCTTCTGTGACTGGAGGCTCACTCCTAGCACCAGCAAAACGGTATCTATGTGCTTCCACCTTAACAACAAACTATCATATGAAGCCCTGATGGTCTACTTAAACAACTTACTCCCATGCAATCCCCATCTAAAGTACCTTGAGTAACATTGGACCAGATTCTCTTCTATAATAGAAATAGCATTTAGACTTATATACTGCTTCACAGAGCTTTACAACCCTCTCAAAGTGGTTTACAGAGTCAGCATATTGCCCCCAACAATTTGGGTCCTCATTTTACCCAACTTGGGAGGATGGAAGGCTGGGTCAACCTTGAACCTGGTGAGATTTGAACTGCCAAATTGCAGTTGGCTGGCAGTCAGCAGAAGTAACCTGCAGTACTGTAGTCTAACCACTGTGCCACTATGGCTCAGTACAAGATACATTTAATGCTCATTATAAGATACATTTAAAGAATTTGGCTGCCAAAATCAATACTAGGAGCAACATACTCCAGAAATTGTGGAACTAAATGGAGAGTTTCAGCTGCCACCCTCAAGTCATCAGCACTCAGGTTGGTCTACTCCGCAGCAGAATACTGTGCCCCTATATGGCTTAACAGCTGCCATACTAGTAAAGTTATACCACCATGAGAATTATAAGTGGATGTATTAAAACCACTCTGACTTGCTAGCTTCCTGTTATAAGCCATATAAAACTGCCAGCTTTATGGGGGCAAGAATAACTAGTGAGAGAAAACAGAAAATTATGAACAACTCAATCCTAATGGTGCATGCCGACCTTCCTCATTTATCAGCCAGAAGACTCAAATCCAGGAAGCCTCCACTGGAATTTGCATAACGTGTGCCCATCAAGTTTAACATCAATTCCCAGTAGAAAACCAAATGGATTGCTGAACTCCCAGACATAGAAAGACATATAAATTATGTCTTTCACACACACACACACACAAAGATAGTGCCAGGCTTTAAACTATCATATCAGCTATGGACAATCCTGAATAGGATTCGCACCTCACAAGGCATTTGCCAGGATTCTCTGCATAAATGGGACACAGTATCCTCACCTCAGTGTGACTATGAGGTCCCACATCAAACTGTAGATCACATCATGACCGGCTGTAAGCTGAGGACATATACTGGTCCAGTCTCTGATATTTTTAATATAAATGGTGCTGCACTTCAATGGTTAGCTGTTTAGACATTGATATTTGAACATAGATCCTTCTTATTTATATTTTATTGTGCTCTACTAATCTAGGTTATGTATGTATGTATGTATGTATGTATGTATGTATGTATGTATGTATGTATGTATTAGATAAGTCCATATATGATATGCCATACACTAAATAAATAAATATCAACATATTTTACTTAAACCTCTATCTAGTCTTTCCATCAGTTCAAATTAATATTATACTCCCTACTTCAATTTTCTCCCACAACAAATTATGACCAGTTCCACAACAGTACAACAGGATCCTCTTGAGGTCCTGTGGCAGTTATACAAAACTATTGAAATGATTAATACTATTTTTAATTTTATGGTTAAAAAGTGCAATAACATTACAAAATATTATTCAGGAATGAGATGAATGAAAAACTGTGGATAATGATTTTTTTCCCCTTAAAAGGCAAACTGTAGTAAATACACTCAATAAACTAGGATTTTCAGCATTGATGGTTGCTTCACAAAAAGGATATACAAGGTATGGCATTATCTTTCTTATATATTTCACCTGAGTATTCTTAGATTTGTATTTTAGCATTTGTTTAGATCCTCATTATTAATGTCTTTTTAGAACTATATGAACATAATGTTTTCAAAACAGAATGACTGTATGGTGATGCACTTGAAGATTTAACTCCAAAAGACTTATCAGTTCTTTCCCATCACTCTCCATAATATTATGTTAATTTTTCCTTAGTCATAGTTATAAGTATTCAGTAATTAAGTTGTAATTTTTTGAATTTTATATGAAATATATGTAACTCTGAGTATATAGAGTAATACTGCTACTCTTGATCACATATTCTATAGCTGTGAACCCACAGGGCAGGCTGTGCTATTCAATTATTGAAGTTCAAATATTAAATATCAGATTGAATTATAGAAGATATGCCCACCTATGCTGTCAGATACATTGTTCTCATTTATGGGTGTTAATTTTTTAAATATATTGCCACTGTGCTTGGATATAAACAAATATCAAATAAAAGTATTATCACTAGTATACCACTAGAATGATAGTCCTAAGTACCCCTTTTCAGTCTTCTGATTTTAATCATTATGTCATTGTAATATAATTAGCAATTGTTCTATATTACAGAATTTTATTGTACTGTACATTGAAAATCAGCTGCCCTTTTTTGCTCTATATTATTTAATCAATTATAGGTTAAAATACATTGAACCTATGGTTGCAATGGCTTCTAAATAATATTGTTAGCTTATAAAACAGAGTGTTTATGAAATTGAGATTGAAAGTTATTTTTAACTTCATCCACTTCTTACTAAAGGACTCTAAAATTGGCATCTAAATCTGAAATGTATTTTTACAAATTATGGAAGGAAGCTAGTTATGAAAACAATATAAGGTAAATATAGAAATAATATGAAGCTACTCTTTTATATCTAGCCTTGTACAGGTTTTGGCAGAAAATGGAGCAGATGTGAACCTGAAAAATACCAGTGGAAAAGATAGGTATATATAAGATTACATTAAATATATGTATTTGTTTGAAAGAAGTAGTTAAATAATTGAGAATATCAATTAGGAGATGTAAACTGGAAAAAGTATTTTACAATACAGGGAAATACTACAAAATACTTCTTTGGGGGTCATAAAGGCTGCAGCATCTTTCCAAGTTCACTTAGCTACTTCAGAAGTTGTTCAGAGCTATCTCAGCATGTGTGTACATACATTACCACTTCATTCATTATCTTTCCTGCAACAGGCTATATGTGCCCCAGCATGCAAAGTCAGCCTGAGCCTGTCTGCTAATTATTTGAAAGGAGGTGCTTTGTAGATACATATTGTGAAGCATCTTCTTTGAAAGCTTTGCATAGTCTTAGTACCAATAATATATAAATGTTTGGTACTAATGCATTAATATTGCAATGGACAATATAGGCAGAACAAATTGAATTGAGTTCATTCACTCTTGAGGGAGAGAAGCATATAATCCTTCATGTTGCCTTAATTCTAGATAAATCTACTTGGCAAATGAAAATGTATCTTAAGTAAACAAATATAAATATCAGGTAGCATTTTATGGCATTGTATATAACTATTTTTATTTTTCATTATTAGATATTAGGTAAAGTAATATTTACTTATGATCTAGTGCCAATCTGATGTATATAAATACTTAAGCAGATAATATGTAATTAGAGATATACAAAACAAAGTTCCTGAAAAGTGATGAAAATATAGTCATTTAATTCTGAATTTCATGAAAAAAATCACATGTATATGAAGAATGTGTCCTACTGTATTAATGATCTCATTCAACTAAAAATGTGTTGTTTATTCACTTGTAAAAATTATAATGGAAACCAGCTTTACAAAGTACTTACTTCATTATGATCATATTGATCTAATTTAACTGAAATCAATGTTAAGATTATTGTCTGAAATCAAGACACTTATATTGTCCAGTTTCTCAACTGCAGGATTAAGCAACTGACTTTAATTTTTTAAATCTTTGAAAAAGTAATTGTTTTGTGTCAAACAGCTTTGTTCTTTTTATTAATCAAATCACTTCTATTGTCAAAAGAGAATTTCTTGTTTATTTTATGCATTTGATTTTCATCCAGACTTTATTTTGTGTATAAATAATTCAAGGCCGTTCTCTAATTCAATCCTTCCTTCTCCCATTTTCCCCACAACAACAACCCTGTGAAGTGAGTTGGGCTGAGAGTGAGTGACTAGCCCAAAGTTACCCAGACGGCTTTCATTCCTAAATCTCCTGGTGCCTAGACCAGCACTTTAACCACTAGACATCCTTCTCTAAAATACTTAACAGCCTTAACAAAAAGAGCATTAATAATATTGTACATATGAGGGAATATATAGACCTCTTTCAAGCCAGAGGACTTAAGACTGAAGACTTGATATATGCGTCTTGATTTTGGATTGTGTAATAAACATGCTTAATTAACTTTTATCCTCCTTTTGAAATTGCTGATAAAGTACATAGTTGGAAAGATAATCTTTCTGCAGTTTTTCCCCAGAGCTGTAGAGAACAACCTACAGTCTAGCCTTTAAACTGATGGACTCTACAGGCAACCAGATGAACAGCTAAAGCTTGTAAAGGCCTAGCGTCCTCCATTTTGTTGCACAAGTTTCTACAGTGATTGGCTAACTTTTGGAGATGAAGTTATTTTCCTCCAGTGCAAGGGAAAAACTGCATAAAGATTTTTTTTTTCTCTCCTTCTTGCTTCCATTCGTCTACTCTTCTGCCTGGAATAGAGATTTGAGAGCAGAGGTGGAGAATTTAGTTTTAGCACTTAATTTGGACGTGAGGATGAGGTGGAATAGATCAACAAGTCCATTGCTCCCAGATTTGTTTGTTTGATTTATTGAAGAAATGTGGTTTTCTGGGGGAGGGGATTAAGCATGAGAAAGGTTTGGGAAGCTCATCCTGAAGTTGCTGCCTTTTATGCAGGGGCCAGCTTTTCAAAGCCTAGCTGGAAGCAGGAAAGTTTTGCATCCTTCCAATCAATGGCTGGCTGATCGGCCATCGGGAGGCTCTAAAATGTTAGGAACTGGTCCTTCTTTTGCCCCAGAAAGGCAGTCTATCTTGGCAGAAGGGAGAGTAGGAGCAGAATTAGGAAAAGTGTGTGAGCCCAGCGTTTTCCTTTCCATTGTTTCTCCCTGGCAAGACAGCTTTGCAGTGGCGGAAATGGAGCATGGGGTGGGGAAGGCCTAAAGCAGGTGGGCTTGTGCCTGCATTTGGCTACCCAGGATCTCCCCCAATTCTGAGCTCCACTTAATGAATGCATTGGGGAGAGCAGAGATGGTGGTAGTTGTTCGAGGCAGTTCACGTTGTCCCAATTTTTGATCCTAATGGACAGGCTCCATTACAGTTGCAACTTGAGGATCACCTATAGTTGAAATGAGGTACTATTTCAATGTGGTTGCTCTTTTTCAAGTTGCTCCCAAGCTGCAGGCAAAGCTCTAAGCACTAGATAAAGCCTCTACCAGGATAATGCTGCTCACGGTGGGTTGTGATCCTGGCAGTTGAATTAAAATTGTCTTGCTTGCTTGCAGGAGGTGACATCACCTCTTGCAAGCAGACAAGAGGACTTTAATTCAGATGCCAGGACCATAAGCCATGGTGAGCACCATTATCTTGGCAAAGGGATTTTAATTCAGTCTGCTGACATCACCTCCACTTCCTTATCTGTAGGCCATTTGTGCTTACCTTTCCTGCTGTGCATGCCCCTTTCCCCACTCTGTCTTAGCATTTGCTTTTATAAGGTCCAAAGATTGGGTGGGGTAAAGTTGCCTCTGGGAACCAGCATGTCCTAGAAAAACATCAAGGTTTGGTTCTATTAGCCAGGCAATGCAACATTGATTTGAGTGCCTGTGTACATACAATTCTGTGGAAATTTATTTATTTATTTATTTATTTTTATTATTTATTTAATTTGTCAATCGCTTACAAGATGATAGGTATAAGAATAAACATGAGTAAGAATACAGGAAATAGGTATGGATAAATGGGGACAATAGGACAGGGATGGTAGGCACGATGGTGCACTTATGCACGGCCCTTACAGACCTCTTAGGAATAGGGTGAGGTCAATGGTGGATAATTTAAGGTTAAAGGATTGGGGGTTTGAGGATGTAACAACAGAGTCAGGTAGTACATTCCAGGCATTGATCACTCTGTTGCTGAGTTGTACTTTCTGTAATCAAATTTGGAGTGGTTTACATTGAGTTTGTATCTGTTGTGTGCTCTTGTGTTGTTGCGGTTGAAGCTGAAGTAGTCATTGACTGGTAGGACATTGTAGCAGATAATTTTGTGTACTACGCTTAAGTCCAACCATAGGCGGCGTAGTTCAAGGTTGTTCAAGCCCAAAATTTCAAGCCTGGTGGTGTAGGGTATTCTGTTGTGAGCAGAGGAGTGTAGTACTCGTGAAATACTTCTGGACTCGCTCAATTGTATTAATGTCCGATATACAGTGCGGATTCCAGATTGATGAGTTGTATTCCAGTATGGTCCAGCAAAGATTTTGTATGCCCTAGTTAGCAATTCAATATTACCAGAGGAGAAGCTTCGTAATATTAGGTTTACAACTCTTAATGCCTTTTTGGCAATGCTGTTACAGTGAACTCTGGCCCTTAGGTCTTTTGACATGAGTACTCCAAGGTCCTTGACAGAGTGAGGGTCATCAATGAGGTCATATCTGCCTAGCTTGTATTTTTGTATATTGATTTTTTTTACCAATGTGTAGGACAGAGCATTTGTTGGTCAAGATTTGGAAATGTATGAATGCCTGAAGCAAGTCAGTGTTGCGTGGATATGTGACTGCACCTACTTTTTAAATAAGCAGATAGAAACTGGATGCGCTCAGGTGACTGAAAAACATTGGTTTTGGCTATTCATTAAAAACCAGCTGTTTGGAGTGCAAATCTCCAGATCTCCCTTTATTCTAAATGGAATTTTACAGTCACACCCAGTTAGTTGTCTTTTCAGTTGTAATACATACCCCTGGCAAACTTCAGATCATTAAAAAATATGGGCATTAATTTACTTGCCTCATCAGAAACCCCAATCAACAACTTTCATTTTTAATGAAGTTTGGTTTTTAGTTTCTGAAGCTTTGAGTCAAGGAGAAAGATAAACATCCTTCTTGCATGCCCATCTATGAAAGAATTATTTTCTTACATTAGTGTGAAGAGTGAAAGGAACCTGATGTTCTAGCAATGTTTAAAAAAGTTATATGCTACAAAATATTTCTTGCTATCTGGCATTTTGGGATATAGGAAATTAATTACCTATTTACTAAGAAAGGAATCAAGATGATAATCACCAGAAATCCAAAGAAAGGATTGCAGTCACAAAAGATGAGATCGTCTCATATTTCTACCATCTAATATAGCAATATACAATGTAAAAGAATAAATCTTCCATGAAAACTAATATTTAACTAGAAGTGTATGTAGACTAACATAGGGGTTAATTATTTATTTTCCACCTCTCAGCAATTCAAAATGAGTGCTTTAGCCTTACTAAATGCTTTTATTTTACAGTTTAATGATAGCTTGTTTCGCTGGTCACCTGGATATTGTCAAGTATCTCAGATCCCACGGAGCTTCCTGGCTAAGCAGGGATTTTGGTGGATGTACAGCTATGCATTGGGCTACGGATGGAGGTCACTGTGATGTTATTGATTGGATGATCCAGGATGGCTGTGAGGTATTGGAAATATTTGTCTAAAAACAGCATTTTACATTGTGTTTTCTGATATGTACATATTTCTTTGCGTGAAATCCTGAAGAAGATAAGAGTAATGCTAATCAATAGATAACATGTGTAAAAAATACATTACAGATAGTCCTTGACTTACAAGCACAGTTAGGACCAGCATTTAGATTGCTAACAAGGCTGTTGATAAGGTGAGTCATCCCCAATTTTACAATCTTTTTTTGCCATGGTTGTTAAACAAATCATTGTAGTTGTTAAGTGAATCAGATGGTTATTAAGTGAATCTGGCTTTTGCTTGCCGGAAGCTGGATGGGAAAATAGCAAGTGGAGATCATGTGACCCTGGGATGCTGCAACCATCATAAATATCTGCTTGTTGCCAAGTGCCTGTTTGTTGAGCACATCACTGTGGGGATACTGCAACAGCCATAAATGCAAGGATCCATTGTAAGACTCTCTTTCAGAGCCATTGTAGCTTCAAACAGTTGCTAAATATATGGTTGTAAATTGAAGATCATCTGTATTTATGTAGGGATGCTTTTATAACAATCTAATTATTGTAAATGGACTGTGTCATACTACTGGATTAATTTTCCTAGTGGAAAAACTGTTACAACTTTTATTAATGTTCATCATTATTATCAGTATGGAAAAATAAGAACAAGCTTAAAGATTAAAAAGATTAAAATGATGCCTTTACATTTTATTTTAATTTAGCAAGGAAAATATAAGTTGATCTGGTTTGGCTTGACTAGAAGCTCATGCAGTGGAAATATTTATTTATTATTTAATTTATTTATTTATTTAGTAAATTTATATCCTTCCCATCTCCCTTTACATTACATTAAATATTACATTAACCATTAAAATAAACAGAGATCAAATAAGTTAAAAACTAAAATATAAGAGCATGCTTTTCTATTTCAACTCCTGTCCTCCTTCATCATCATCATCATCATCATTTAACGACCCCATAATCCCTTGCAGGGTAGAGTCTGGACAACTGAATGGAGCTAGCAGAGTGTTTTAATGGCTGGATGCCCTTCTTGTTGCCAATGCAGAGTTTTGTTCAGCAGATATATTCTCAGTGTGCTGTCCTCTCTGTCCCCTGAAAATCTCTTCACTCCCACAAGTTGTTTTTGCCTAATTGTGCCTTTCCACTACATTTCTCTTCTAGATCCCAAGTCTTCTTTGGATCCTTCCCTCCCCATCTCTAACAGATATTTTTGGAATGGTAGAACACTAGGCTGTGATAAAGAAAAAAAGGAGGAAAACCCATAGATCCAAGGCACTGATACCACCCATATGTTTTAAGATAGAACATTTACATATATAATTTTAATATTGTGAGGCATATTTCAGAAGCCAAAGTTACAGTGTTAACAAAATAAAATTCATTTAATTATGTAAACGATGCTTTATCTAACAAAGTTACTTATTTACATAAATGACTGCTCAGTATTGCTAGGGCTAAGGCTGTAATCTTTTCTGAGGCTGACTTCAAAATAAGCCTCATTAAACTTAATTATGCTTAGTTTTTTAAATACATGCTTAGGATTGTGATATACATTACAATAACTCCAAATGGATTAAGACTGCTATATTTCCTTTCCTATTACTTCAGGAAAACCTTCATTTGTATGAAAGGCTAGTTAGATGGAAGAATTGTTGTCCTGATCATTAGGATAAAAGATCAAAATGGAACAGTGTTTGTCTTCCAGCCTTTTTAAAGAATATCTTTGAGATCAGGTATTACAGAGAGCATTATTCCACTAACTTATATCATTTTTCTGTCAGCTATTTTGCAACCATTCTGGTATACCTTTTTGAAAAAAATAATAATTTCAGCATTAAGGATTTTTAAAATAGAATTAATATTAGATTCTAAAAATAAAACTAATACAAACTAAAAAAAGTAGAAAATGCAGAAGAAATAGAAAAAATAAGAATATAATAAAGAAAAAGAAAAATATATATCGAAATGACTTCCCCCTTCATCACAAGTATAAACAATTTTAATAACATATTATCTTCTCATAAAATACAAATGATCTCTTCCTCCCATATCCCATCTTTGTCTACAAACAAATTCTTAAGGCCTGTCATTCAGTTCTGATCAACAAAAAAAACCATTAAAGGGAGATAACAACGTATCTATTTTAACCTTAATTAAATATACCAACTTTATGTTTATTTTTACTTCTAATAATCTTGATCTAGTCTCTTCAAATAATGTCCTAGAGCTTGATTTCTTTTCATTTTTTCTTTTTTCCTTCTCACAAAATTCTTCAAAGCTTTATTGTATCCCTTTTGTAAATATAGGAAAGTTATTCGTGTAACTCTTGGGTTTTTTTTAATTTGTATTTCCTTTTGATTATTAAAATGTTAGCTGGTTTCATTTGTATATCCACTGTATATTTTTTTTCCATATCATTCTTGTAGTCTGTTATTTTACCCACTTTCAAATTAGTCTCCATCTTGTCCAGTGAAACTATTTCCTCTTCCATAAAATCTTTAAACATATAATAAAGACAGATACTCTTAAAATTAATTTATTGGTCTATTGTTCAAAAAATATCCTTCAGTATGTCCAATATTAAAATATTTTGCTCCATTCTGTATTATAAAGTCAAATTTGAATAATCTTTAATTCCTTCTTATTCTTTCTATTTTCTAATATTCAAACTTTCATTCTATCATTTTTTAAAGAGAAGTCAAAACAAAAGCATTTTCCCATAGGAAAGATTCTTATAATTAATCCCAAAGTCTTATTTCATATGCATCTAAACCCTTAATCTGCTTGTATCTTTCCAAAATAAAGTTCTAATCACTCTTTTGCTGTTTATTCCAAAAGAAAAATGTTTAAGTCCTTAAACCTGTATTTTAAACTTATTTTGCTAAGGATTAAAGAAAACACCCAGTACTGTAAAATTTGCTAATCCAAAGGTTTCTAATAGCTGAGAAACAGTTAACAAACAATTTTTAAAGTGATTTGAAAAGAAAGCGTACAAAGTGTCTTTTTGAAGGTACCAATCACAGTTTCAGCAAAAAGGTGATTATTCCCTCATTTCCTAGAGTTGTAATCCTGCTGGAAGGTGCTATTGTGGCTTCCTTGCTAAGAGCAACTCTCTAGAAAGGAAATAGTCTACTCACCGTCTTTTCATTCTGCTGCAGTTGTTGGCTCCACTTTTAGTGGAGCTAACTTTAGTTCACCATTTATTTCCCAAATGTCCCTTACAACATTAAGGATTAAGGAAATCAATCTGATATTTTATTTCTTTGCATGGGGTGGGAGTTCAGATTTACTTTCAGAAGGAGAAATTCAATTTTCTTATATCAATTTGGATACTTTCCCAAAGTGTGTAGGATTTTCAGCCTTAGAATCTTATTTTTTACAAGCTGTTGATATTCAATAGCATTTAAGGAAAGGCAGGTGCCATTCTTCCAACAAAATATAAGTGTTAACATCGGACTGCCATACTTGACTGCTCTGCAATTATTGTGGTTTATTTTAGAATTAATTTGTTCACAGGTCATGTTTGCATATTTAGAATTATACTCCTCTGATCTTTTTTCTAGCATTTCCACTATCCTACATGTATATAATACTAGAAAATATAATTGGAATTATGTTTAGTATATGAGTTAAAATTTTGCAACATCTAATGTTAATACTTGTATTACAGAATCATGTAATTTGCAGTAATGTAGCAGCAGCACTTTGAAGAATGTAATTACACAGATTTCATCCATGCCACACATTCAAAGATTACAAGAAATCTTTTTTAATCTACTATATTCTGTATAAATGAGTCCCCTATTTCATTATTCTTGTCTATACAAAGTCTAAATCTATGGGTAATCTGTTCAGAATTAGCATGTGCAATCAGGTTTTCAATACAATGAATAAATGCAGCCATACGTTTATCTTTCCAATTTTGCAATATCAGTCTTTTAGCCATAATAAGAATATAAAGAATCCATTTATGTTGTCCAGTTGTCAATTCCATGTACTAAGTATATAGTTCAAAAGAATAGTATCTGAAAATTTTAGCTTCTGTCACACAGTCATATTTATGTGATCCATTACTTTCTCCCAAATCTTGGTAAGTATAGGATATGGTAGAAACATACGTTTTAAAGAAACATTATCCTTATTACATCGCCAACAAAATGCTGTTTTTGACACTCTCTTTCTATACAAACGTAATACAGATCAATAAATTCTGAATATTATGTTGTTGTTGTATAACTTGCAATTTCAGATCCATTGACACCCTTGCTATTGAATTTAAGATGTTTTCCTGTTGTCTAGATGATGTAGGAGCCTCTAATTCTTTTTTCCACTCATTTCTTAACATCTGCATATTGTATTGATTTATTATAAAAACTAATATGTTTTTTTTACTTTTAAAGAATTTAAGAAGTTGTTCTAGCATCTCAGGTGTCTCTGCTTCCATCCAATTTTTCCATATTACCCCCTTCTTCTAATTTCCCCATAAATTTGGTATGGGAAAAAGAGTTAAATCTTCTTTATTAGCCATACATGCTATAACTTTCTATTTGTCCTAATTGTTTCCAGAGATTAATGAGTTTTAGTATATTTGGATACTAATATTGTCTATCCAACCAAAGGATACACACACACACACACACACACACACATGCATATACAGTTTTACATATACATCTCCTTCAAAGTTGCCCAAATTGGAAAATTAACACCAAATGTTCACTTCAGTATTTAATACTTTACTACATGTTAGCATGATGATATAACTCCAGGTTCAGAAAACCAAATCCCCATTAATTGATAATTGCATTTCCTGTGAAGATATTTAATGTTGAAGAATACCATAAAAATCTTCTACACAAATAATTTATTTTTTGACAATATTTTCTAGATATATAAACTGGAATTCCTCTCAGAATATAAATTAATCTGGAAATAATACTAATTTTAAGAGCATTCATCTTTCTCCAATGGGTAAATAATAATAGTAAATAATGATAAATAATTATCAGTCTGAAGGAATCTCTTTATATAATTTATTCATATTACATGTCACTGAATTATGTCCTATATAATCTATATTAAAGTTAAGTTAAAACTGTTATACACATCATTTTTAAAACTATTACATGCATCTTATCCATTATTACTATTGTTACTTTTATTAATCTGTTTTTATCAACAAAGTGGTCTTAAATCTAGAGATGATAGTAGTGATACCCCTGTTGTCCACATGAAGGCAAATGAAAACAATAAGTATTAAAATTAAAGATATACTAAAGATGGTAAAGTTAGTCGGTCAATTCTTGTTTTAAATAATGAATGAACATTCAGTTGATCCAAAATAGTAGGCCCTGTATCTGCGGGAAGAACAGGAAATAAAAAACTCTGAAAGATAGTAAAATGTAAAATGAGACTGTTCAACTGGCAGGAAAAAGAACTAGTGATGCCAAGTGGCAGGAGAAAAAAAAAATAGAAGAAATAGTTTTTGAGGCAGGCTATAGTGAGAAAAGGAGATTGAATTAGTTTAATATAGGAAAGATTGAAAAAGACAAAAAGACCAAGATTGTGTAAAGCAAACTTTAAAAGGAAATACAAAATATAGATGCTATTGAGAATAACATTGAGGTTCTGGATTTTCTATATCTGTAACAGGTTGACTCAAGAGATTCTGGCTTGGAATGGACTCCACTATTGAGATTATGCACATTATCAGGAAAAACAGATGTAGCCACACTTTTAATAAATGCTGGAGCTGATGTGAACGTAAAAGATAAGGATGGGAAGACACCTCTGATGGTATGTTGTACCGCTAAGTAACATGTTAGACTGTTTCTCAGTAAGGAGAATGAGAGAGTCTTGAACGGTTTCACTTAGGTCTCACTTCATTATTCACTATTATGTCCACCTTAATTCACAATAAATTCAAAGGTAATTCATTTTTAATTTGGAGGAGGAGAATGATGCAGAAAATCTTTTTTTTTGCACTGCACATGTGCCAGGGCTGTCTTGATTATCACTTGTCTCCAAGAAAAAAGTATTGGGTTATAGATACAGAAAGAACTATAGTCTAGGAAATCAGAAGAATGCTCCTTTCTCCCATATCAGCTTGAGCACACCCTTTTGTTATTGTTTTAGTTTTCATGGATATCTGATGGATGGAATGTAGAGAATTCTCAGCGATTGTACTTAAATTCTACTGTGGGACATAGGCATCCCCTAATAGGCTTTCACCATTTTGTGATGTTGTTCTTCTTCAGAATGATAATGTTGTTCCTCTGTACGTGGTTGCTTTTAAGCCTACTGAATGACATGTGATAATAAAAATTTGTACATAAGGATACGAGGTGCAGACTATTTTAGAACATATACTCAAACCTCAGTCAGAGTGATGTCTGAAATGCCATAGCCTCCTTTTTGGCCAATATTCATTTGGGGAGTATACTATACCGTATGCACAATTATTACACAAGTGAGTATTTTGACCATATCATTTTTATGCATATTTTCCACCTCCAAGCTGTATGAACTTGAATGCTTAAATGGCATAAGCATATCAGGTGATGTGTATTTTTGTAACGAGGGAGGGTGTGGTCTAAGGAGATCAACACCTATATCAAAGTGTGCATAATTATTAGGCAGCTTCTTTTCCTCAGGCAAAATAGGCTGAAAAAGAGATTTAATTGACTCTGAAAATTCAAAAATTGTACAAAGGCTTTCAGATGGATGCAGCACTCTTTAAATTGTTATGATATTGGGGTGTGATCACAGAGCCATCAAATGTTTTGCTGCAAATAGTCTACAGGGTCACAAGAAACATGCTGAGAAAAAAGACACACCTTAACTGCCAAAGATTTGAAAAGAACCAAACATGAAGCTACCAGGAACCCATTATCCTCCAGTGCTGTCATATTTCAGAACTGCAACCTACCTGGAGTGCCCAGAAGTACAAGCTGTTCAGTTCTTAGGGCATGGCCAAGGTAAGGAAGGCTGAAATCCGACCACCACTGAACAAGACACATAAGTTGAAACAATAAGAGTGGACCAAGAAATGTTTGAATACAGATTTTTCAAAGGTTTTATGGACTGATGAGATGAGAGTGACTCTTGACGGATCAGATGGATGGGCCTGTGCCTGGATCAGTAACAGGCACAGAGCTCCACTGGTATGGGCTGGTATTATGAAAGATGAGCTAGTTGGATCTTTTTGGGTTGAAGATGGACTCAAAATCAACTCACAAATCTGCTAGTTTTTAGAATACACTTTCTTCAAGCAGTGGTACAGGAAAAAGTTTGCATCTTTCAAGAAGACCATGATTTTTATGCAGGACAATGCTCCATTGCATGCATCAAAGTACTCCACTGTGCGGCTAGCCAGTAAAGGCCTTAAAGATGAAAGAATAATGACACGGCCTCCTTCGTTACCTGGCCTAAACCCTATTGAGAACTTGTGGGCACTTTTTAAATGGGAGATTTATGGTGAAGGAAAACAGTACACCTCTCTGAATAGTATCTGGTGGGGTTGTGGTTGTGCTGCTTCACAAAAAGTTGATCGTCAATAGGTCAAGAAACTGACAGACTCCATGAATGGAAGGCTTATGACTATTATTGAAAAGAAGGATGGCTATATTGGTCACTGATTTTTCTTTGAACTGTCAGAAATGTTTATTTGTAAATTTTGAATTGTTTGTTTATTATTCTCACTTTAACAGATGAAAATAAACGAGTGAGATGGGAAAATTTTCATTTTTCATTTAGTTGCATAATAATTCTGCACACTAATAGTTGCCCAATAATTGTGCACACATAGATAGTCTCCTAAGAAAGCCATAACATCACTTCTATTTTCTTAAATATTCAGGTTTGAGGTTTATTAACATTTTGGATTGACAGAGAGCATTGTAGTTGTTCAATAATAAAATTAATCTTCCAAAATACAGCTTGCCTAGTAATTGTGCACACAGTGTACTGTCAAAAATAGGTGCTTGTAGGTGGGTGGAGGGAGGGGCAAATTATAACATGCTCATCATGAAACACCATGGCATGTGCTTCTAGCAATAGCTGTTACAATTATATCATTGCATAATAAGTGTGATTATGACCCTATGATTATGAACCTACATTTTAATATTATCATGGATTGTTATGCATATGCTTCAAAGAGTTCCAGAACTCTTAAGTTCATTAACTTGCATTTGGGAAAAAAACATTAATGCTACTGGCAACCCAATGGACAAATTTAAATCAAGCTCAGGAAAAATGCTTGAACATTATATTATTATACTTCTTCACATTGTTATCCCGCTCTTTGCTGCTGGGAAAAAAGTAGTTTTCAATTATAACTTATTTTCCATAATAGGAGAGACATTATTCTGTGTCTTAAGATATATGGGATCATTTGAGTGTCCAATAAATAAGATAATAAACTAAAGAATAGCAATTTGCATACTTAATCAGGCAATCAGCATGACTTTTTGGGCTATGTGTGGTATCGTTACTAATTAGTTCTAAGTATCATTAATAATTAGTGATAGATGTAAAATTTTCAAAGAAAGTATTGTACATCTTTAACATTTCCAATTAATTACACTATGAGCATAATTACCTTTGAGTTGTGCACATTTGCTCATTTATGTTCACTTGAAATTTGTTATTATGACTATTAAATCATTCTATACTTGCATACCATTTGATTATATACAAAAAACAGTAAATTTCAAAGTAAAAGTAAAAACATTTATTTATTGAATTATATGACTGCACATATCACATAGATGATTCTGGATGGTTAAAAGCACAAACAATATACTTTTTCCTTGCTAGGATCAAGCAAGGACCCCCACTCATCAAAACAAAACCTTCAACAGGAGCAGAACAAAAGCCTAACCTTCTGACCCAAATATCTGGGGAAATTTGCATGATACTTGTTCAGTCTATCTCTATATTTGTATAAATATAGGTGGAAAGCCTGCCAGATATCATATATTATTCCTATTTGTCCATAGAAACATAATCTATGCCTAAATAAGAACATTCTTTCTTACCATTACCAAGCTCAAGGCATTTTCAAAACATGACTTCATTTCCTGTTAGATTTCTCCTTCCAAAGCATTTTACATCAAAATATTATTTCTGCTTTATTGCATGAAATAGAGTAGTCTGAGTAGGTTCAGATGTTTCTTTAATGGGATGAGGCTTCTTATTCCTTCTTATTGGAAATTCATCTTTCTGAACCACTGAATTTGTAGATGTTATAAAGATCAAAAAGCACTATATCATGTTTTTACCCCGATCAACATAGTGAGCAAGTATTTTTCTGCACTTAAAAATAGGTGTTTGGGATGGTGCTTTAATGATATGAGGAAGGGGAAGTATGTACAGTATAGTACTGACAAACTCTGATTGCCAATTAATATCCAGTTCCCTCCTATAGAGGCCTATTTTACTACCTCTATAGAATTATCAACAAAATTCTTAGAAAGCAGTGGACTTCAATATACTTACATAATATGTCCTCAGTTGCTGGAGAATAAATTAGTTCTAATGATCTTGCAAATTACATTTTTAGGACCATACATATGTTTTAAATATATACTACAAAGAGAACATGTAAATGGAATCAGTGTATTTGAAAATACTCACATTGAACAAGAAAACACATTAATGATTTCTGTTCAGTTTTTTTTTTTTTTGAGTGCCCAAATTTGCCACAATGAAATCCTAAGATCTTCTTGCTACTGGATCTGCTAACCGAATATGACAACTTGGTGCAGCCAACGCACCACAGCCAATTTGCTACAGGACAACTCACTGTGGGACAAGAATTATTAATATCAAAGAAATGGTGGAATAGAATCACCAAAGAAAGGATGCAAAAGGGGTGGACAGAATGAAATGTGAACAATGAAAATTAAAGTATTTTTTTTAATTTTAAATAATTAAATAGAATTGTTAAGTTGTCCTGTGGCAAGTTGGCTGCAGCAAATTGGCCAGGGCAAGTTGCCCCATTCTGCTGCTGGCCTGCCTTTTATGCAGGAAATTGCCCATTCTTGCCTGTTTCTCTGTCTTTGGCAGAAACACAAAATTGAAAGGCAATAGAAAAAGCAGCAGTCAAGAATATGATACTGTGCTTATGCCCAAGGCAGAAAATGAAGAAATTTGTTGATTTCTCTAGAATAACTAATTAGATAATGCCTGTATTATCTCAGTTGTCCTTATATAACAGCACTTATATGACAGAATGCAAACACTAATTTTCACTGAAAAGAAAGAGAGTTGTGTATTTGTTCTCTGGAGAATTCTATTTCTTTTGTATCTTTTCTGTGAGGGGGAAACCTTATGCAGAGAAACAACTGTGGCATATAAAAGAAATGGCAATTGATGAGAAGCTCATGAAGAATAATACTCCATTTGGGATTAAAACTCTTCTCATATGCACTGTTTTGACTATAAATGAAACAATTAAAGCTCATTAAAAAGTCAAGTCCAATGTAATGATCTCAATTTCTAGTGACATTAGGTACATACCTGTATACAGTAAGTGTTAGTACCATTTTATAAAGCCTTAGTAAGACCACACGAATACTGCATCCAGTTTTGGTCACCACATTACAAAAAGATGTTGAGATTTTGGGAAAAGTGCAAAGAAGAGTAACTAAGATGATCAAAGGCCTGGAGACAAAAATATATAAAGAACAGTTGCAAGAATTGGGTATGGCCAATCTAGAGAAAAGAAGGACTGGAGGTGACATGATAACAGTATTCCAATATTTGAGGGGCTGCCACAAAGAAGAGGGGGTGTCAATTCATTTTCCAAAGCACCAAAAGGAATGGAAACTAATCAAGGAGAGAAATAATCTGGAATTAAGGAGAAACTTCCTAACAGTGAGGACAATTAACCAGTTGAACAGCTTGCCTTCGGAAGTTGTAGGTGCTTCATCACTGGAGGTTTTTAAGAAAAGACTGACAGCCATCTATCTGAAATGGTATAGGGCAGTGATGATTAACCTTTTCAGCACCAAGTGCCAAAATGGGAGTGTGTGCATGTCAGAAACTGAAAGAGCAGCTCTCAACATGCGCAGGCATGCCGGCTACCTGGTTTTCCAGTTTCTAACGCGCACATACGTGCTGGCCAGCTAGTCTTTGCGCACGCATGTGCGTTAGAAACCAGAAGACCAGGGGCCGGCACACATGTGCGTCTGGGAGCTGCTCTTCCAGTTTCCAACACTCCTGGAAGAGCAACGGACAATGGCTGGCGTGCCCTGAGACATGGCACGCATGGCATAGGTTAGCCATCACGGGTATAGGGTCTCCTGCTTGAGCAGGGGGTTGGACTAGAAGACCTCCAAGGTCCCTTCCAGCTCTATTCTGATTGAAAGATAATACAGAGGTTTGTCAGTGGATTCTTTGAGTGCTTTTCAGATCACAAATTTGCTACCTAAGAAATTGAAGGAATCCCTCAGTGAACATATTTATTTTCAACACATTCAAATCTTTGCATACTTTCATTGCAAAAGGCAAACGACATATGAGATTTAGAGAGTGTTTATACACAAGTGGCATTTAGTATGACTTTTGTCTTGTGCAAAAAATCCTCCTTAAGTTCCCCAGTTGCTGAAAAAGATGTCACATTAAATGACATATTTTTCTTTCCTTGTCTTACAGGTGGCAGCTTTAAATAATCATGAAGATTTGGTTGCATTATTATTAGAGAAGGGAGCAGATCCTGATATTAAAAATGAGGTATTATGTTTCTCTCTCTTTCTCTCCATACACATACTTAAAAAGTAAGTTGAATGTGTCATTTGTTTGTTGTGTTATTTTTCAGTTTGGTAAGGGTGCTCTGGACATGGCCAAAGGCTTGAACAGACAGGTAGGGATCTATCTTTCTTGAATTACTCATTTCTAGTTTTTTTAAACATTCTTTATCCCCTGGTGATTAACTTGCTCCTTTTTTTTTTTTTAAGAGTGTGGTTTCAATAATAGAAGAAAAGAAAAAGCAATTAAGCAATACAGCTGTTGATCTTGCATCTTCCCCATTATGTGAAGAAAGTGCATCTTAATCTTTTTTTCCCAGGAAGGTGAGACTATGAAGATTGATTTCTGCTTGTTTGCTTTTTTCCTGTAAGTTTTTTTTTAATCATTCTTGGACACTTTGATTAAAATGCTTCCTTCTTGAGGATTTTCTCTGGCATTTTACATTTATCTGAATTTCAAAACTGTCTTTCTTTAATGATCTTTTTACAGTAATAACATGTTTTTCTATCCTTTGGAGATTGATTTTAAAACCCAAATGCTAGTTATAATTAGCACAACTCAGTATGGAGTTTGTCACATGATACGTCCTGCTTGAATTTTTCACTAGCTGGATAGGAACCACGGAATCAGGGCATTTTAACTCTTTTCTCAACCATGAATCTGATTAATGTCAATGAAAACATTTTCTGTTTGGAAAGTAGATTCTATTAAAGGTATATGTCTAGAGCAAAATAAATAAATCACCCTGCTCCTGCTCCTATCATATGCTTATTCCTCCCGCCCCTCCCTCAGCTACCTGGATCCTCTGTTTTTTCAAGAATCAAGCAGCTAAGGACAAACTGTAAGAACCAGTTTATTAAAGCAACCAATGTCAGGGAGTTGCAGTGCAGGGTTTTAGTGTAACAGGTTTTCTGCAATGGAACACGCTGAGAATAACAATTGACAAAGTAGGAAATAACTCATGGTCAGGATCTTGAACATAATCAAAGACTGCTCATATAATTCTGAGTACTTAAGGCTAGTGCAGCTTTACATCAGCCAGGAGTATAGTAGTTGTAACTTGGTCTTGTATAGAGAGGCAGCTGAAGCAGAAATCACAGTCCCCATAATAAAGCATGCCATCCTAACAGACACTTAAGACTGAGAGTAGTGTCTGTTAGTGGGATTTATTTCTGAGTAAACATTCATTGGGGTGCTCTGTTAGGGCATTAGACTGTTCAGACCTCTCTCTGAATATATTTCATTGAAGTGGAAATTCTGTTTAGATGTTTGGAATTGTATTGTAAAATACAATTTGCAATTGTAAATCGTTAATGAAATCAATGTTTTTTGATTGAAAAAAATGAATTTGTTTTACATGGCCAAACTGAATTTATATCTGTATGTAGACTGTTCTCCAAAGACTATATTCCTGTTTAAAGGTGAGAATCAATGTAACCAACTACATTTCTAATATTTCTGTTAAAGCCTGACATCCCCAAGCCATTTGAAATCTACTGGGATTTCCATTTGGATTCAATAATTGTTTTGATCTAATGAAGTAGGAATGGATTCATAACCATTTTTCTTCCTATATTCTAAAGTCAAGGGAAGAAATGCTACAATTTTTTCCACACACATGTGAGTCTAAAACCTACTCAAAATTTCACTGGGCATATTTTCTACCTACATTTTATTTTGCTTTATGAAATGCAATTCACAATGCAATTTAAGGTATAGTCTTATGGGTTTAGAGAGGTTATTCTATGACTGTAGAATAGAACCATTGAGGAGATTCAACCTCAAAACTGCTATAAGAATTATTTAAAAACCTCAGTTCCCCAATTTCGAATCTCTGATGCCAAAGAAAGAAAATAGAGATATTGTAGGTAAGTGGAAAGGGGAATTTTCTAACCTCTAGACTAGAGCTAGAAAAAAAATTACCTTTTGGAAAGAAAAAAAATACTGCTGCTCCTTCTTTTCGTTTCTGCTGACAGGTTCCAGAAAAGAATTTGGATCTCTTGGAGATTTTAATGTAGAACTCTTTATACTAATCTTCGGGATTTCTCTTTCTAACCAGAAGAGCATAATAACGTAAGGAGACATCTAAGCTTCTCATAACATTTTTGCAGTAAAGCATTCTCCCCTTGTTCTCTGTATCTCTAGAAAGGGATAGAGATTAATATAGGAAGATATAAAATACAAATGAAACATTTGGAAAAATAATTGGCCCATTCTCATTTATCTCCCAATTCAATTTGTTGCCTCAAACTGCATTTGCTAAAACAAATTAACATTACTATTACAGCCAAGCTTCATTCCTTACCTTACCTTTACATTTATTCAATTTATATTGCCGCCTAGTCGCCCATGGCGAATGAAAGTGGCTTACAGAATATAAAACCACATTTAAAACAATAAAACTAATAAAAAGAATCAAATAAATTAATATAGTATAATATAATAAAATCACTCTCCATCCCCTGTCCTGGTGACTGCAGATCACACACGAGCCATTTAATGGGCTCCATTCCGCTCTGGGTTCTCCAGGCCTGTTGGCAGAATCAGGTCTTCAGTCCCTTCTGGAAGAGTATTAGAGTGGGGCCACTCTAATCTCTGGGAGAATAATGTTCCAGAGAGAGGGAGCCACCACGGAGAAGGCCCTTCTTCTGGGTCCCATAAGGTGTATCTCCCTTGATAATGGGACCCACAGCATTTCCTGCCTCCCCGCTCTGATGGGTCAGGTAGATGTGACCAGCAAGAGACAGTCCCTCAGATAACCTGGTCCCAAGTCATGAAGGGCTTTAAAGGTGACAACCAGCACCTTGAATTGCACCCGGAAGCAAATTGGCAGCCAATGCAGCTCCCGTAGGAGAGGTGATACATGTGCACATTGGGGTCTGCACAAAACCATGTGGGCCGCTGTATTTTGCACCAACTGGAGCTTCTGGATGCTCTTCAAGGGCAGCCCCATGTAGAGCGCATTGCAATAGTCAAGATGGGAAATTACTAGGGCATAAGTGACTGTGAATAGGGATTGTTCGTCCTGGAAAGGGCGTAACTAGTGCACAACCCACAGTTGCGCAAAGGCCCTCCTGGCCACAATCTCCACCTGTTCTTCGAGCAGGAGTCATGAGTCCAGGAGAACCCCCAGTTTACGCACAGGGTCTGTTTGGGGTAGCGCCATCCCATCCAAGACCAAAGGTAGCAATTCTCCCTCAGCCAATGAACCACAAACTCAGAGCCACTTGGTCTTGCCAAGGTTTAGTTTCAACCTGTTGCTCCCCCTCCAGCTGAATATCTCTTGTTCTTTAGCATTAGGTATTTATTCTTAAAAGATAACCCAACTTTGGAAACAATTTAAAAGTTCTTCTTTTATACCAGAATGTGAGCCAAATTTCCATGTTATATCATAAGCACACCGTTTATTAAGTTCAGATTCTGCCATAGTAATTGGATATGAATTTACCTCAATTGTTGTTCTTTAACATAAGCAACATGAAGTAATTTTTCAAAGTATATTGTTATAGAATGATCAGTGATGCAAAATAGATCTCAGACACCAAGCACATAAAAGTTTAAAACCCAAACTTTTTCTAATTTTGTAGAGATCTAGCTTTTCTGGACATGTCAAGATTCACAATTACTATTTAAAACGTGTGATGTAATAGAACCAGTGTGGTTGTTTTCAGAAATATGGTTATAATTTTGAATTTCTTACAATACCTGAACAAGTAAAATGTTTTATCACCTTGGCAGAGCCTTTTTTGACACAAATGGGTAGAGCTGATTAGTGAGTAACATAAAAGCAAACATTAGACTCTCCAAAGGTGTAGAGCTCAATTACAGATACAGATAATCAGAGTTGGAAGGGACCTTGTAGGTCATCTAGTCCAACCCCCTGCCCAAGCGGGAGACCCTACACCATTTCTGACAAATGGCAGTCAAATCTCTTCTTGAAAGTCTCAACTTATGGCGCTCCCACAATTTCCGAGCTGTTTCATTGATTGATTGTTCTCACTGTCAGAAAGTTTCTCCTTGTTTCCAGGTTAAATCTCTCCTTGTTCAGTTTCCATCCATTATTCCTTGTCTGGCTGACAGGAGCTTTAGAAAATAGCTTGACCCCTTCCTCCCTGTGGCAGCCCCTCAAATATTGGAAGACCGCTATCATGTCTCCCCTGGTCCTTCTCTTTACTAGACTAGCCAAGCCCAGTTCCTGCAACCGTTCGTTGTATGTTTTAGCCTCCAGTCCCCTAATCATCCTGGTTTCTCTTCTCTGTACTTTTTCTAGAGTCTCAACATCTTTTTTATAATATGGTAAACAAAACTGGATGCAGTACTCTAGGTGTGGTCTTACTAAGGCTTTATAGAGTGGTATTAGTACTTCCCTTGATCTTGACTGTATCCCTGTGTTAATACAACTTAGGATTGCATTAGCTTTTTTGGCGGTGGCTGCACACTGCTGGCTCATATTTAGCTGGTTGTCCACTAAGACTGCAAGATCCCTCTCACAGTTACTGCTATTGAGCCTGGTTTCACCCCAGTACTTTTGGTTTTTCTTGTCTAAGTGTAGGACTTTACATTTCTCTACATTGAACTTCATTTTGTTAGATACAGCCCAGTGTTCTAGTCTGTCAAGATCCATCTGGATCTTGAGCCTATCTTCTTGGGTGTTAGCTATTCCTGCCAGCTTAGTATCATCTGCAAATTAGGTAAGTTCCACTTCTATTCCCTCATCTAAGTCGTTAATGAAAAACCTGGGGAGAACCTGGGGAGATTTATTCTGCCCAGTCCCTTGAATATTTAGGGATAGAAAAATCAAAACAGATTCAAAGTAATCAAGCAAGTGTCTAGTCTCTCTATTTCTCTTTGTTGATCTCTGCTGATTTTTCTTCTCTTCAAAACTCTGAAACAGAACTGACTTCTAGTAGCTCAGGCAGCTTGAAGGCTTTTTGGGGTCCTCTCTACATGAACTTTGCCTCAGGGATAATCTCAAGCCAAATTGTTGTCTGTGAATTGTGCAGTATTGTCTGGATAAGTCAGCTTTCCAGGGACATCACTATTTCTATCCTTCCAAGAAAGGTGCTTTCACACTTATCAATACACTTTGTATAATATCCTTCTGAATACTCTCTGCAGCATTATAAATGACATCCACCATATGCGAGATTTTTAGAAATAGCAGCCCCATATGGTGGTGGTGGTATAAAACAAGTTTACAATATCTCTGCACAGGAGGGATAGGAAGCCTGAGGCTTTTTTTGTTGATGTTGGATTCCAGTTTGATTGCAAAGCAATAAGAGGAAATAAATTTAGAGTGGCTATCTAGTTGATCTGAATTATTCTCATGTACAGAGGTGAGAACTTGAGATTCTTCTCAGGCTTTCTGAGGTCAAAGTATCTCTGTAGAAGTAGATAGCTACAGGATATGGCCAATAAGCAGCAGAGGAAATCCAGGAATGGATTTTTTTCTCCTTCTGCTATGTAATCCTGTTTTCTGCTTCAGAGAAATAAATATGTCTGATAAATCCATTTGTCCTGATGACTTTAATCATTATTTCAATCACAGTAGCAAAGATTTGCTATGACTGAGAAATTTATTGTTCTCTCAGTCAAGATCTTAACAGCAGCAACAAATTTATATACAATATAAATTACAATATATGAATAGCATAAACAATATCAGTAGCTCAAATAAACATTTCTCTTCCTTCAGGCTGATAACGCTGTAATTACATTTTAATTTTCCTCCAACTGTGTCCATTAACATCTTCATATTAAATAAAAGTTAACTTAGTGTCTTACCTGTTAGCAGAAACCTATTGTTTCTCATCTTCCTGCAATTGAAACGATGTGATTATTTTCTTTCTTTTTTTTCAGAATGATAAAAGGATAGTAGTTGATTTCTACGCTTCCTTTCAATCTTTGTTGTGAACATAGCAATCAGCACCAAGAATTTGTTTACTATATAAAACAAATGTATCTTTATCTTCTAATGAAATAGTTGCTTTAGACTTATTTTCCATCTTATTTCTGTAGCTGTATGGCATAATTTTCAAGAAGACTTGAAAATGTTTTATCCTGAAGACATGTACTGTGATCTAGAACCTCTATGCATTCTGAGTTGCATAGAATTTTGACCCAACCAATATTGTCTTATTTATCAAGTGAACAATATAAGAAATGCTCAGTGTGATGTCTTCTCTGCCAAAGAAGAAATTGATAAATTTAGCTGCCTAATTACTTTTTTTCTAACATTCTCAGGCCATACTTATTAAATAACTGCAATATGCATTAAAAATTACTGACTTTAAAGAGATTTATTCCTCAATAAGTCTTTATACAATTGAATTGTTAAATGTAAAACAAAATCTTTATTCTTAGTTAAATGTGTTGATTTATAAAGGATGCCCTATTTGAACTGCAGAATAAATAAACATTTATTTCCTCAATAAATCTCAATTTGAAAAATCATTTAATAAAATAAAAAATAACAGGTAACTAAATGTGTATTTACAATTTATTTGATATAAAATATTTAAAATAATATATAGTGTCCTGATATTGAAACATATATATGTATATGGTCTGGACAGAAAGAAGATAAACTGTAATATAGTGTTGTATATCAAATAAAGCAAATATAAATTGCAACCATTGTAGAGATGTATTTCATAAAAATGAATGTATTCTAGTATACATGTATAGTGTATAGAATGATTTTGTTAAAATAACTCTACACACACACATTAAATAGAATAATTAATTTCATTGAATGTGAAAATGTTTCAAGAGTCACGATAGCAACAGTTCAAATTATACATCAGTTGCTGTTCCTTTAGTAAAGAAGAAATGGTGTTTGGATCTCTTGTTCCATAGTATGAGTCCTAAAGGCAGCTCACATTGCATCTCATGCAATCCATTTCTTGCTGTAAAACATGTCTGAACAATAAATATTCCGCATAAAAATATTTCTTTTGGGATAGGCGCAGTTCCTAACATTGCTGCATGTACTTTCAAATCTCTCTCTTTTCTTATTTCATTACCTTTAGTTTCAAAAATATTTTTAAATTACTGATAGTTCATTTGCTAGAAAAGTTAAATGCAGTAAATATGTAATCACAGATTGATTATCTGTTTAGGTTTTAAGTTTGAAGGTACCTGAAACTTATTAATTCTGCTTCCTTCTTAGTTTACGCCTACAGCTTCCAGTCCAATGCTTTGGCGGAGTAGAAAATAAATCTCACCTTTTAGATGTCTGAAGAATGGTCGTTATCTTGTCAGCCTTTCTCAGACCTTTTAACTGTTGTATATTGGGCTTGTTTCCACAGTCTTCAACATCTTTGTAACTCTCTTTTGAACTCATTCCAATTTGCTGTTGTCCTTTTTTGTATCCAGAACTGGACACATTCTGTGTCTGTTGCTTTTTTCTTTTTATATTAATTGTAGTTCAGAAAGTAATTTATAAGCATTTGTTATGTACCAATCAAGAGCATTATCCTACCAGTTCTCAATTATTAATGGGGATGTAAAATCATTTGTATCTAAAGTAAATGTGGTTCAGGTAGAATTTGAAGTTGCTTGTTGCACCTGCCAAAGCCTTAAAGATGTCCCGACTTTTTCTGGTTTCACACAATAGCTATGTGATCCTAGGAAAATGTTTATACTATGGAGGTAATGACAGAGGCCTAAAAAAATCAGCCATGCAAATGTTTATCCAAATGAACAGCTTGTTTGTTACCTCTTAGAGTCTACTTTTGTATTGACCTGCTTTTTGGCCAGCCAGCCTTTGACTGCTGTATCTTTAAAACACACCTTTGTTCAGGACCGGGTGAATCGATTTAAGAATCTGAGAGGCAGATAGAAGATTCAGGCAGCGATTCTTACTTGTATCTACTTCAGTAAGAGTGAAGTGGGAATAATTGGCTACAACAGTGCTGGAGTCAATCAGAGGTGGTATTCAGCCGGTTTGGACTGGTTCTGGCATATCGGTAGCAGAAATTTTGACCAGTTCAGAGAACCGGCAAATACCACCTCTGATTGGCCTCGCCCCCACGGTTACCTCTTCTATATTCTCTTTAGCTCAGCTAATTCGCGTGGCAAAGCGGATTGCCGCGCCTCAGCTGAGCTAAAAAACAGCTCAACTTACCAGCGTTGACAGAGGTCTGTCTTTGAGCCCTACGCATGTGCTTAGAACCACTCATAGAACCAGTAGGAAAAAATTTGGAAACCCACCACTGGAGTCAATCCCACCAGAGTTATTATTCCTAGATGTCCCTAGCTTTTTTTCTTCCTCTTCATCAGAAAAAAAGTCCAGCAGGACCATGACCATAGCAAATAATCTTTTGAAAACGAGGGCTTTCTTTTGAAAACTGCCTCTTTCTAAAGCCACAACCTCCAGGTATGGAGATTATCATGTCCAAACCACCAACCCCCTTTTTTCTCCAAAGCACAGCTTCCAATGGCATGAGATTTGCTCTCAAGCTGGAGTAGTCCCCAATTGTTTGGAGGGAAAAATAAGATGGCTTAATATCCTACATATCCTAAAATGCCCCAATGCAGACCAACAAAGCGATGATTGAAAACATCACAGATTGGGCTAGGCACCTGCTTTGGTCAAGATGAGGTCTACAAATATTCTGGAGGAAGACCTGTTTCAGGAAATAGTAGTATTACAACTCTAGCTGTAAAAGTAAAATGATGTGCTTTGTTGTAATTAAAAAAAATATTCTCTTAAGTTTATTGATACTTTTATTGACTCCTTTTGTGATAAGGAATAATGGACTCAGTAACAGACAGGTAGAACAGTGTTTCTTCCCACTTATATAATGCTAGATCAGATCAAATTGGCTGGATCATCTGCTGATTTTGGTTGTGATATGCATTTGACTCCTGCCTAACTTATGCACATTGTAGATGTTGTGAGGACCTACACAAGAGTTAGTACACAACCTCACGTCTACAATGCCTGCTAGATTGGGACACTAAGAATGCATAGTGTCTTCTAACTGAAGGTTATATCTCTTAAATAGTTTTGCTTCCACTTTTTTTATAAATAAAAAGGAAAAAAATGATGGGGAATTAATATAATACCAAAAAAAGACTAAATCTTACATAGTTCAATATTTTTATAGGCAGTCTCTTCCTGGGTTTCTTGCTAGGTGAAATAAGTGTCATCTTTTTAATAAGCAATTACAAATTTATTTTGAGTGACAGTTAAATAGAATTAATTTTCTTGGAGAACGGAGGGTCAATGCTCTCAGAAAACCTACAACTATTCAAGAGGCATGAATTATAAAGAATCCTAATAGCACTCGCCAAATCTCATTTTAGAAAACTGAGTTCTACAATCATCAATAACTCTTCCTACTTAGCATAAATATTACATTAATATTTCCAAATGATTTATAAATTAAAATATCAATTATTACTTGGTAACATATGCAAGGTTTATAAACCAAATTGTTTTCTAGATAATTTCACTTTGCTTTATTTTGAGATACGGATATTTTTAACTGATTTCTTTCTAGGTATCACTGCTCTTGTTGCCTAGATACAGAGCATAATAATTGAAAAGTTAAATTAGGCACCAAAAAAGAAATAAAGATCATTTTGTCTTGGTTCTCTCTATTAGGAAGCAAAGATAAGTGACTTTGGAAAATAACATGTTACATATACAACTGGAATGACCCAAGGTCTGGGAATTCAAAGCAGTTTTATGTATTAACAGATGATATTATTGGTCAATTTATAATAATAGGAAATATGTAAAATATAGGGATCCAATTGATTAAGTATTTTTATGAGAAAGGAAAAAATAAATGTAGCTCTGTCACTTAAAAAAATGCAGTTATTTTTTATAAACTTGCTAAACCAAGGACAAATATATTTATCTTATGCTTCCCAGCTGCTGTTTGGGCTAAAATAATGTTAATGATATCCTTTAGATGGTAGGTCAGTAATCCATGCTGCTAATGAAATAAGCCTTGAATTGCCGTTTTGCTAGTTATCAGGGGAGAAAATAAATGGTAGAGACTTTCTGACCATAAAGGGACAGCATATGAAAGAGCCTACATTTACATTAGAGGCATGGGAAATTCAATAAATTTTAGGAAGACAAATTGGAAATGACTTACTTCTCTCTCAGAAATCTAAGTGATCAGTGTACATACTACTGGGATAGCTGAACTCAAAATTTGCCATTTTCATAAAAGCACTAGAATTCTGCCCTCTTAAGTGTGGTTCTTTATAATTGGAGATGATCCAAGTATATCTTCAGATAATGAAGGCTCCCTTGGCTAAGCAACATAGATGAACACTGTCCACTAGAGTCAGATACGACTGGACAGGAGAAACCTTTACCTTTTCTATTGTAGCTAATTACAGAGCTACATATTTGGTCATCACCATGCATTAAACTAATGAACAGCATAAGAGGAAGGCAGGTAAATATCAAAATGTTTTTGAAGTGTTGAATTCTTCAAATTGTTTGGCATGCAACAGCCCTCATATAAGAACTGATTAAATTATTTTTATAAAATCAGTGGACATATGGAGATGAAGAGTTAAAAGTGATGGCATGGCAGAGTCACATGTCTGAGAAAGACAAAAGACTGGGTGAATGATTACCAGAGAGCTGCAACAACAACAAAATGAGTTGTGTATCTCCTTGTTGCCATCTAGCTGTCTGCTATTTTTCAGCCTAAATATGGTAGCTTAACTCAAACAGCACCTCTATAGGAATCTACTCTTTGTAAGTGCTAAACACTGTACTCTCACGTGAGTATTCTCGGTTTTCACAAAATATTTTACTGGGTTGATTTTTTCTTTTAGTATGAAACAATGCATTTTTGTTACAGTGCACAGCTACATTTTTTTTTAAATATTACTGCTACAATATGGTTGTAAACCCATGCTGAGTTACTTGCTATTCTGCACATGAAAATATCATATAAATGGTAGGTAAGCATCTGAACTGGGTGTTACGGAACTATAAAGCTACCTATAGGTTTTATGGCTATATGGTCTGTTGCATCACAAAGTAAGAAAAGGATAAGCAGCTTGTGCTGTATTGGTGGAAACCATCAAAGTGTGAGCATCATGGGCATTGTGTGGCATCATGTGGCATCGATGCATCATGGGCATCGTGTGCATGCAGATGTGTATATATCTATACTCACACACATACAGATACATAAACACTGAAGACCGAAAAAATTGAAAAATACATTATGATAGAAATTACACACCATTTCTAATTAAAATGGTGTTCAATATACAGTACTTTAAAAGCTATTTGAAAATCTATACACTATCTTGGAAAACAGGCATTTAACATTACAGTACAGTGAGTTAGGATATACAGTTATGGATAACTATATTTTTGTGTATTACAAAAAAGAAATCACTTGTGTTAGTACAATTAATCTGAAGATTTCTCTAACCCATTGTAATTCTGGAACAGATGACTGACATGTTATAGAACTGAAATAAATACAAGAAATATACTTGAGACTCTTACAATTGAAAATGGATTCTGGGTACTGGATAAAACTGCTGATCTTGGGATAGGTATTTAAGCCTCAAGAGATAATTCAGTGTATATTTAACGTGCATCTGTACCATGATGATGGAAATAACTTTTGTACAACTGACATTTTATATTATTTTCTCCAAAGATGGTTATGTTCCATATGCACAGTTCACTAGAGGTAGGTTGGACTTCCATTTGGTACATGCATAATTACAGTGATTTTTTGGTTGCCTTTGCTCACTATAAACTTTCAAATTATAAGAAAAACAGTATTTCTTGATTTTTGCAAATAGTATTTTTCCATCTTTCTAATGGAATGTCAATAGGAACAGCATTGGCAGTTGTTTGCTTTACCTTCCTGTAAATTGTACACCACAAATTACATTTTGCCTCCATTTTGCCTTTTATTGGCAAACCATAAAAACATAGCTGTATTTGAACTTTCATTGGTCCCTTGATCTCAGCAATTTTATTTCAGTCCTAGTCAGCATCCTACAAAGAATAGATCTAAATGGAACAACAAACACTGAGAGGTATTATATATATATAGCCTGCTGTGAAATTTAAAATGAAGGATGGTTCAAGACTGCTTAAATGTCATAAAAATGGCTTCCATCCTAGGAAAACTTGATTATGATGAAATAATATTTACTACAGTGCTCTGCACTGTAATAAATATGAGTATAAATTAATAATTTATTAGTACCTGAGCAAGGACGCAAACCACCTTCACACACTGTAGCACCAAAGGCAGTAGCTCAGAGTTCTTAAAACAATGGGATATAGAACATTAAACATTCTATTGGTTGATATAAAAATATTAATTTCCAGCTGAAAAATAGTGCAAACTTCTATTTTTTCAGAATAAAAATGGTCATTTCCCCCCATTTCATTTCATATAGACAGCATTGCAGGGCCTAGGCACATGAAGTGGAGGTTTTGGTGCAGGCCTGTTCAACAGAAGAGGGTCAAGGGACAAAAAAGACAAATACATGAAAATTGGGAATTACTAAGATATTTATTTACTTAGTTATTAAATAAACAATTGCTACTTATAGGGATGGGCATGCGATGGTTTCAGGTCACATAAATATCTTGGACCACTTTCCTGAAGCCCATCCATCTGCACCATCAAGTTTAATTTCAGGAGGCTGCAGATGGATGTGGGTGTGCATGTGTACGTACATGTGTGTGTGCAGCTGCACCCAGGACAAGAGACTTTGCTGCAACAGCAGCTCATGGCCTTATTGCCACCCATTTGGATTACGTTGTTAGGTTCTAGTTAGGGATTGCTTTAAAATGGCCCAGAATGCTGTGGCCCATAGGTTTCCTAACATCTGAAAGGAGCACATTACACTATAATACAGTGCTTGCACCAGGGGTGGGATTCTACTGGTTTGCACCTATTTGCTAGAACCGGTTGTTAACATTCTGAGCAGTTTGGAGAACCAGTTGTTAGAAGAAATTACTGGCCTAATCCTGTAAGGAAGGCAGGAAGGAAACATTTTGGTGTTGCTTACAGAAACTGCCTCTCCGTTAACCCTTATTACATTCTTGGCTGGACTAGACTTCCTGTCTCAGGAACGTCCCTGGAGTTTTTTCCCCCCTCCTTTGCTGGTATTTTGCTTCTGTGGAGTGACCATTCAAAGTTACAATGTCACTGAAAAAAGTGACTTATGACCGTTTTTCACACTTACGACTGTTGCAGCATCCCCACAGTCACGAGAGGCCAGGCAAGGAGATGCGTGCCACAATGTGAGTGATATTGAGTTGGCCACTCCCAGCCAGTCACATGACCACGAAGCCATGCCCACAGAACCAGTTGTTAAAAAATTTGAATCCCACCCCTGGCTTGCACGGCTTACCAATCAGCTTCTGAGTGCAATTTAAACTATTGCTTTTAACCTTTAGGCCCTGAGCCTGGTATCAGATTATCTTCACAATCTTCAGCTAGAATCAGCCTGACCAAAATGATCTTTCTGGGAAAAGCAGCTTGTGGCTTTCCCACTTTGGGGAGGGAATAGCTTAAAAGATCTCTTTCATAGAACTTTGGGTGTGATGTCTTTCATTTCTAATGTCTTTCAATTATATTTTAATTTTAAATTTTACATGAATTATAATTAATTCCTCTCTGTGTGTGTGTTTTCATAATATTGGAATATTTTATTCTGATCATTGCCATCTCTAGACCACTAAAGAGCTGGGACAGGTTTATCTCTTTAGCGTACATATTAAAAGTATTAAAATTATGATTTGGGGGATAAGACAAGAAATTGTTTTTCCACAGTATTAAAACCTGCTAAATTAAATAGTCAAAGTTCAGGGTAGAGAAAAGGAATTTTTTTTACATTGTGTACTGCCAGTCTGTGATGGTGAAGTTTATGCTGAAGTTGATTCTTCACGTGACATGTTTATTGCAAAATTAAGCAACTTTGTGCATCATGGTCCTCATAAAATCTGACTTGGGTAACTTCCATCAAAAGCTTAGTGTGAAACATACTAAGAGACAACCAAACTAACCTGACAGGAGCAATTTGAGGCCTAGGTTTTGGAAGCTCAAACATTGTCCTAGAAACAGGATCAAACTGAACGGCTTTGTTCTTCTGAGGATTAGCTGGCAAAGGCTTCCGAGGAGGACTTGGTTTGTAAGATTCCTACAGTGTGGGAACAAAATCACAATATTGTTGCAATTCATTTATTTTCTTTTATAGATTTTATCTATGCACAATGCAGTCAATGATAAAATACCAAAACATTGTGTATTTTAAAGAATGCTACTAAACAGTTCTTCACAATTTTGTAGTTATAGTTTGTGATAGTTCAGCCAAAAACTGAAGCTCTTTTTGATTTAGCTTTTAATGTTTCTATTATTCATCATCCTGCCCATCCCTCATAACATGCTTTAATTAAAACAACATTTGCATTATATGAGTTTCCATGATTTCTATTTCTAGTAAATAATAATTAAAAAATAATTAAGAAAAAAATACAGTCAGAAAGGACTTCTTGGAATGTATTCAGGGGAGCTATGAAAGAGCTGGCAAAACTGAAGTGCAACAAAAATGCATGGCTTTATTAAGCATACAAATTTATCAACTCTTTTAAAATGCTTTACCTACATAAATCTGTTCTTTATTTCAAATAGAGAACATGACAAGGCACCTAATAAATGTGCCAAGAACGGAAACACAAGATGATCATTGTGTACATTTGTCACTGGGACATTTCCAAATTATAGCAATTTAATATCATTTTTCTGCCAGGCAGCCTGCTAAATGTTATCCTGTCAGTTATACCCTGGTCTTTTTCCTATTAACTGCTTTAAAATAAAACCCAAATTCTTATCAATTCTCATATTCCCCAAAAAGATGCAAAACCAACAAGCATTTTATCATAAAGCACAATAAGCAGGTTCCAGAGATAAGGGATAATTTCAAATAAATGTAAAGTTAAATAGAAGTCTGGCTTTATGAATTATAAACCTGGTGATACATCTAGACTCAAGAGTGAATAAAAAATATCAAACACATTGCTGTTTTTGTTATTTTGATTTATATCCAGCCGTTCTGGCCATAGGACACTTGAATAAGTAGCTCTGGGTTAATTGAAGTGTTTTCTTAACAGTTACAATCTGCAATAAACTCATCTATGTCCTCTAACAAAAAAGGCTGCTATTAAAATTGCATCTGTAATGGACATTTAAAGTTGCTGACTTTTATAACAGAAAAAAATATCAGCTTCTATGCCATTCTTCTGACAGATACAGGGAGAAGAAATACTACTAAAATGTTTATTATGTTATAAATCATGGTTGTCTTTTTTATAGCTTCCAGAGCACAATAGACACTTCAAATATATACTGTGTGTTTTGTCATGAAAGAAATGGTGGCTCCATTTTTTAACTTCACTGTAATTTGTTCATTTTTAGTAAGTACACAATTTCTGAAAACGGCAAAAAACAATCTGAACTCAGAATACAGCTATGTAAACATTGGACTTCTATCTACAGAGATGCTTGTTTGTGAGGCACAACAATGTTATTCAATACCTTTAGCAATATTCTTGCAGGGGATGAAATTATAACAGCATTTTACCATTTATTTATTTATAATTTATCAAACAAATAAAGTTTGTTCTCCCTTAGGCATGGAAGCTGACTAGGTGACTCACTCTAAGCTTTCGCTCTCTCTTACTCACCTCACTTTTTTTTTAATTGTAAGGAAAATAGGAGGAAGGAACATGTGTGCACCTTCAGTTCTACAAAATAAAAGGTCTTATAAATCCAATAAATTAATAAGTACTTTGGCTATATTCTTCAATCAACTAAAATCTATAATTATACCTATATCAGAGTTGGGACAAAAAGACAGTGGATATTAGCTAAGAGTGAGAGAGCAATAGCTAAATTAGATAAATAAATAGGGAAAGTCATGCTTTTAAAAATTCTACATTATAGTCTTCATCGGGTATTTGCTTGTGTTTATCAACTTTATTTGACTGAAACTGTCTAGATTCTAGACACCTTACAGAATTTACATAGTAAAAACAATACAAAATTAGAACAAAGTTAATTACAATAGCAAGTAAAGGTAAAAAGTTAAAATTATTCAAAATTGTGTCATATTGCACATAAATTTCCAAACTTTGTAGAAGAGATCATTCGTGTGTATCTGGAAAACCATGGATTGTTTTTCAGAAGGAAACTATTCCAGAGTTTGGGAGATGCCATCAGACTCCCTCATCCTATACCTCCTCTTATCTGGGGACACTTAGATCTCTCTAATTGTCTAGGTAAGGCAAATGGAAACTAATCAGGAAAGTGGTTTCTAAAATGCTGCCAGGCCCCAAATCATATGTGCTCTTATAGTGATCGGCACTTTGAATTATATGCAAAAGTCTATTGGTAATGTAACACCTGCAATAGAGATATGATATGGTTGTGTTATGGCTCATCACTAAGCAAGCATTCCTCTGTGCACCAGACCAGCTCAAGCTTCTGGGTTGATTTTCCAGTGTAGCTCCAAGCACAGCAAATTACAGTGGTCTAATTTCAGCTTGTTTTTAAGACAAGGGCCTGATCAACTGTCTTATGGCTGGTGGTCTGTGTCTTCAGTGAACAGATGTAGGTTAAGGCTCCAAGCATCAGATTCCAATACATTATTTGGGGGGGGGGGGGGGACTCTAGAGCAAAGTGTAGATCATGCTTGCGCGTATCTGTGGCAGCTTATTCTTAATTCTAAATCTGAGTTTTGCTAGATCCAGTCAAAAACATGCTTAAGATGGAAGAAACTTGATTCTGAATAATACTAAGTTGCAGGCTAGATAACAACTAACAGTGTGCTTGTACTGTATAGGTAAACCAGAACTTGCAGATAAGTGAAGTAACATAATCACACAATTAACTGACCTACAGTTTTGTTTGTTTGTTTGCTTATTACCAAGTTTCAGGGACAGCTGGTGGTTAGGTCAAACTGCTATATTAATGTTGACTCAAAAAGCAAAGGTTAGCTCATATGTACCCACATAAGCACCTCATACTGCCTTAATATGAATAGAAATACAAATCAGGTAACTAATAATACTAAAGATAAATTAAGAAGAGGGGAAATCCTGCAAGAATCCATCAATTCTCCAGTGTCCCTCTAAGCAAAATGGCATTTTTTATAGTCTGGCTCAGACAATACTAGGGAAGCGGATGAACAAAAACAAGATCAAAGTAATTTCAGTACAGAGACTGGCAATTGCTAAAAAAAAAAAAAAAGCTGCCAGCTGCATCATACAGTTCCAGCCTAGTGCTTGCAAAAGATAATGAGGTGGTATCATAATTAACACCACCACATTCAGGAGGTTTGTAGAAAGCAGGAGATGGAATAATGTAGTATTTAATTCATGTTTCTTTCAAAAAAAATCTAGATTTGTGGTCTGATTAATCAGATTCCATCAAAAAGTTATTTTACTGTGTTCTGATTTTTGAAGGAATGTGAAAGCTGGCCAAGTCAATGCCAATTTTTTTTTTCAGATGTAAGATCTGCAAGTAAATAGATAAAGTTTAAATAGTGGCAACTTCAGAATTATCAAAATGTTACAAATGAAATATCAAACTTTATAGATTTCTTCAAGCAAGAATTGATGTGGAAACAAAACCAGCAGCAATGTACTGAGGTTACAGAACCCACTCCACTTTTAATCATTGTTATGAAATGCAGTTGTGGTCAATCTGTGGGATTGGTTCAATGTTTCAATCGTTATTGTAACTCTCAGAAATTATGCTGGGGTTTTGATGCTGGCTGTACCGTCAAATGCTTTCAACAAATCAGTGGAGCTGTAATCAGAACATGTGAAGCGGTTAACCTACCATCCTAGCAAAAGAACAATAATAACACCAAGCAACAACAGATGGAAGTGGGCTGGCTCAGAAAACAATAGCTTTGACCAAATTAAATTGAACAAATTTAAAAAGTTGTAATCTGAGAACCAAATAATACATAGCTGGCAAAACCTTAGGATACTGGATGCTGTCCTAAGATATGTAGTTCTAGATAGGGCCAACTACATAGGATAGCTCATTTTCGGATTCCTTCCAAAATGGAAATTTCATCAGTTGCAGTCAACCCCTGCGATGCCATTGTTCCTGTTCAGAAATGAATGTTTTAACACATTCATATATGTGTTTTAACATATCAGAGGCTCCTAGTGCAGAAGTGTCTGGAGAGGGATAAATGATGAAAGGAATATTGTGTCATAATCCCCATTTGCCATTGTGTATGCACTGTGATGTCACATGTGTACAAAAGGGGCAGAGCTTACAATGCAATGATATGACACCGCTTGCGTCATTTTGATGAGAGTATACAATCCTGCAGATGCCTCTACCACATTATTTTCCAGGATGAATCAGCTGAGAGCATAGGCTGAACACAATTTCTCATCTGTAGATCCCTGCTAGAACTACTCAAATATAACATCAATTATTTAGAGACTAGTGACATCCACCTCTTCTGACCCAAAGCAGCAATGTGCCTTGGAGAGGATGTTGGCCCACTAACTGCATCTTTCAGCACTCCTTTAAAGAAGCTTCAGCTTCTTTATGTTTCAATTATGAAAGCACCAATAGAGTGTGACAGTATTACTGTACCTTGTCACTGCTTCTTTAATGCCTCTTTAGTTCAAACATGTTTTCTGTGATCATGCAGCTGGTGCAAACGCAGAAGAAGGTGCAGCTTTTTTTTTTTTAGTGATGTGCCAAAAAGCACGCTCACATTCCCTCTAAAGCAGATTTTCTGCTTTGAACCTGAATAGCAGCACTTCTATACTACCGCTCCTCTTCAACAACGATCCTCCCCTTTTACATCTCTGGTATTAACACTTCCACACTAATACCATTGCATGACCTAATAATGACACGTACAAGCAGTCGTGTGATTTTTCTTGGAGCAAAAATAGCAATAGCTTTTACACTTGTATACACTTCATAGTGCTTTTACAGCCCCCTCTAAGCAGTTTACAGAGTCAGCATATTGCCCCCAACAATTTCGGTCCTCATTTTACCGACCTTGGAAGGATGGAAGGGTGAGTCAACCTTGAGCCTGGTGAGATTCGAACTGCCAAATTGCAGTCAGCCGGCAGTCAGCAGAAGTAGCCTGCAGTACTGCATTCTAAGCACTGCACCACCGTGACTCATAAGAAGAAGCAAAAATGGAAGACAGCTGTGGCATTGTTGAATTCTAGTCAATCTAGCATTCAAACAGCTACTTGACAGCATGTCACAAATATTGTAACACTGGCATTGGAGGAAGACATGCTGAGGGTGACTGGGAATGTTTAGATGAACTATAATTAATTCCATTTACTGTAGCCATTCAGAAGGAAATAAGCTAGTAAAGAAATGCCCAAAGAAATCGAGATTGAAACTGCTTAGGGTTTTCTTGGTAAGACAGGTAGAAATAAAAGGTTAGAAAGGACTATTTATTCTCCATTCAAAGAAATCTCAATTTAGTTTGGCTCTCTGGAATTTGCAGGTTCTGTAGAAATGGAGGTGAGGGGAAAACAACATACCAGGTCAAATTTCAGAGGGGGCTTGGTGGGCAGCACCTTTCCAAATACAGACTGTTGACTGGAAAGCTCACAAAGATGTGGCTGGACCCTCTCTGGTGGACTCCATTTCGATACATCCTGGGCCTTCACAAAGTAGCTAATATCCCTTTTCTGACACTGGAGCAATTGTACGTTGTTTCTCTATAGACCATAAAAACAATATGCAAATAAATTGCAGTTTAAGTACACTGCATATGGCACAACTAAAACTAAGCATTTCAAGTTCAGTTTATTGCAGTTAAAGAAAAGCAGATGAGAAGAACCCAGGGAAAAAGTAAATGCTATGAACAAAATTATCTTTCCCACTGAAATAAATGTTAAAATCATTTGGGCTGAATTGTGCCAATATGCTTCTTCTCAGACATACAAATTAATGGTTAAATGTCACTGCTTTCAGGGCTGGTTTAAATGGCTCTTCCTTTTTAATATGCCCTCTTTATTTTTCCTGAAGTCAACTAACAACCAATTAACAGCATACTCAAACACTAATCCTTGGATGTTTAAAAAGCATTATTTCTGTCTAAGAGAACTGGCTGCAATCCAGAAACCAGTACATTTATTTGTTTCAGCTCTTAAAATCTTCATTCGTCTAGAGCATGGAAACCAGTATGCATTTTCCAATCTGGCTGTGTTGATTTGATTTCATTCATTAACCAAATTTGTGTTTTGCTTTCTTTATTTGACAGAGGCTCTATTGGTGCATACCTTAGTTGTTTCATGCACAGATTATTGCAATAGTCTCTTGGCAGGGTTTTTCCATGGTCTTAGACAAACCAGAACAATGACATTCAGGCTATTCTGGACCCTATGGGTTTTTTCAGAATTCATTGCTCAGGAGGGGTTCTAATTGGCTCCTGAGAATAGCCGGAATCTGTTTTAAACAAGAAATTCTCATAGCTGAAGTTTTCTGGTTCATAAGGGCGAGAGGAAAGGAAGGAGAGGAGGAACAAGTAATCAAATGTGCATCACTAGGTGGCATTTGCCCTTTATGTAATTCCATTGTCACATTGTAATAGGCATTTGTAATAGTTTGTCATCAGTGGTAATGAACTTCCTAATACCAATAGGAACATCCTAAAAACCTCTTTATTTATTAACATCCCCCTCCCTACAAACCTCTTGACGTATTATGTTCTCTGGGCAGGTTTTTCTTTCTGTTGCCTCCTTAAGTGGATGTATAATTTCTTTTATTTAATTAGCATGTTTAACTAGAAGGCTCTGTTTATCCCACCTTGCACTCATTAGGATGGGCAGTTTCAAGGTTAATTCTTTTTTTTATAGAAATTCCGGATATATTTGCACTTGGCTGTACTGTAGGGTGTTGTCAATAGCATGGTTGCAATGGTTAGTGTGTATTAATTGGCAGGTTGTTACATTTTGAATTCTTTGGGGGGATGACAGTTTTGTAATTACTGTGTTTCTCTGACTTGTGCTGCAGGTTGGAAAAGGCATATAACACATAAAAATTATAAATAATAACTACTGAGAAAAACATTAAAATCATTTTTAATGATATCCAATTAAATATACTTAGACATAGGTGCTAACAGGTCTAAAGGTTGCTCAAATCCTGGAAGAAGGCAATGACAAATTATTGATAATAAAGAAACTACACAGCTATGTCCATATAGACACTTGAAGCTGAGTTGACTCGAGGGAATCTTTAACTTTACTTTATATAAAACCCACCTTGGGTGTGGTTGAATTTTGTGGCTGTTTGGCTAGTTTCTTACTGATGGATGCTGCAGTATGAACATGATTAGATTCAGATGAACTGGAAGGCCTTGTTTGACTCACAGACCTGCAATGCAAACACACTCATTAAAAAATAGCTACTGCTTGGAAAATATAACATCAGGGTTATAGTTTGATATAACGCTCCTTTATCTTTATTTTATTTTTTTAGTAACAGTGACTGCAAAATCCATCCATTACTCTTGCAAGAATAAAAATATTGATTTTGTTGTTGTTTAGAACCACTAGTCTGTTAAATTAGCTCTGGCAATCTGTGGAAATGATGCTTTATAGCCCCCAAGGGATACTTCTAATGAAGCTGGTGTTTAAGAAGTAATGACCTTCGCTATGGATATCGTGCTTCATTCAATGGGCTAGAGACAAAAGGCTACTTCCAATCTTTCAATATTTCAAGCAGGCAAATGCCTTCCACTTTTTAATTGCTTACCACAAAACAAAATGAGAAACAACAACAAGAACATCACAAAGTGCTGTGGTCTTGATTTAGTGCAAGAAAAAACCCCAAACAATTTATATTCACAATACAGTATTTCAGCTCATCTTTCTAATATACCTACATTACACAAAACAACTACACTTAAATTATCTACTATAAACAATGATCTCAACCAAAAGGTAACAAAAGTAAGCAAATGAGGTTAAAAACAATTTTATTTCAAATATTACATAAGGTTTTCAAGGTCTTAAAACTTGGTATTCCTTTTCGTGAAATAGCAACTGAAAAGCCTTTCACTTTGTTTAGGTAATTTATTTCATCATAGGTAAGACTAAAAGCTTCACTATCTGAGATGAATGAATAGGAGAAAATAACCCCTTCAATATCTTATCCATTTTAGGTATTAAAAGAAACATCTCCAGTCCCACCCAGTAATGGATTGTCAACTGGCTCAGATATAGCAAAATAAGCATACGAACTCCCTGACAAATACAAATACTGAGTGTAATATTTATATGCTTTAATTATGCCGATTGTTTTGTTTTACTTTGTATCTTGATGATCACCTTGGTAGAATACAAAGGTGGGATATCAATCGAATTAATAAAATAATATCTCCTTCTTAAGAGAAATTTTCCTGGACAAGGAAGGAAAAAGTTAATTCCCGACTCCACACCAGCTCCAATCTCATTAAGACTACTTTCCTCAGATGATGCTTTACATTTTTAAAAAAGAAGAAATCCATATGAGAGACATGATGCCTCATTGTTGGCAAAATCAGATTTTATTCTGTTGAGGGACCCAATTCTGCAGCGATACTGAGCTGAAGGGTTAAATGCTAATGACTAGTAGGGCTAAAGCAAATAGTTGATGGAACTAGAATGCAAAGTGAGTGAGGTTAACTTTTATTTCTTTTTCTGACATTTTTCTTTCTTTCTTCTCTTCCCAGGCAATAGCTACAAGCGAAGAGGCATTCAAATTTAAAAAAAAAATCAAAAGTGTCCAAGAGTTTTGATCACCACATGTGGTTTTATACTGTTGCTCCAGGCCACCCATTCCTGCTTTAGTGGATCTTCTGTGTTTTTAATTCCTCTAATAACTCCTCATATGTTGCTTCTGTTTTGAACTAAGAGCATCCCTTTTGACCTTTGACACACACTACACTTGTTCAATTTCATATATGAATAAGAACAAACTACACATTCACACAGAACCTTACTTCTAACTGAATAAACTGAAATGTGTCATTGTAATACATGATATTAATGAAAGAATACAGAATTAGCTATTGGTCTGAGTTCCGAGCTCGGCAATTTGGTTGCAAACGTTTCATCACCATTCGAGGAGACATTGCCAGTGTGCTTTGAATTGCACTCATCTGTCAGAGCACTGGCCTTTAAATACCTTTTTATGTAATGCAAATTAGTGTGGATGTTGTTTGTTCGGCTACTTCTGAGTCATGGTCTGACTTCGGACTGTTTGATTGGCTGGCTGTTGTTACCAAGGCATGGTCTTTGGTTTTAAGTACTGTCTGTGTGATGTAAATTAATGTTGTTTGTTTGGATACTGCTGAGTCATGGTCTGGTTTCGGGTCTATTTGAATGGCTGGTTGTTGTTCCTGAGACGTGGTCTGATTTCTATATAGCCCAACTACCAACCTGAGCTACTTATATTCAAATACATTTCAATATAGGTAATATTCATTCTGGAAGACATTGATCAGCAATAGACAATGGGTAGTTTTTCCTGAGGTTGCAGTTTCAAAAAAGAGCAATGTTAAATACCATACCTAAGTTTCTCTATTGTAGTCTTCTTATTAATAAAGAACACTCTAATCAAGATCTTCCTCTTGAAGTACACAAGTAAACTGGCCGCCAGAAGGCACAGGATGGTTATAAGTATTGCAATTAAGCTTCTGTTATCTAAAACAAACAAACCCATCATCCTTAATTAAAAAGAAGGTTAAATAAAAAATCACTTACTTAGGATTTGGGGTAGCAGTATTTCTAATCTGCAATCATGCAAACACACACACACACACACACACACACACACACACGCACACAAAGAACTATTAAGGACTAATTTTGAAGTTAGATAAAAGGCATGGTTACAGATATTCTGTGCTTTCATCTTCTATGGCTCAAATAATGTAGCAATGAATAAACTAGATTTCCCTAAGGTGATAGTCTTACCCAAATAGGGATCACTGTTCCTTATTGACCACTCTGGTTGAGATTATGAAAGCACAGTTCTGGCACATCTGAAGAGCCACACTTGAGAAAAACTAAGCAAAGTTGGCCAACATATATGGGGAAATTAAAGTCACATCACTCCTTCACAAGAAATTGCCCTGTCTTTCTAGAATTGATGTTCTTTATCATTTTTGGGCATATAACACAATATAACTATTACATCAATATCGATAAGAGATTGTAGGCATGTTTGTAGGTGTGTGATGAAGGAAGGAAGGAAAGAAGGAAGGAAGGAAGGAAGGAAGGAAGGAAGGAAGGAAGGAAGGAAGGACTCATTTAATTATAACAGTTGGGACCGGCAACTCCATCGCTTTATCCATGATGTGACAGTTAAGCAACACATCACATGATTGCAACTTGTAATTTTACTGTCAGCCAATCCACTGACTGTTGGTCAGAATCTGGCTGTGAAGCATGCAAATGGTGATCACATGACCTAATTTTGACACAGGGGAGCAGACTTTCATTTTCCCAAGCTTTTTAATCATAGTTTAATTCACATTGTTTTAGATAAGTCAACCTCCTTGCTTCTGCCTAGCTTGTATGGTATCTTTATATTTTGTTGGATATTTATTTATTTATTTCTTGAATTTATATTGGAGATTCAAATTTATCATTTTATGTATCCTTTTTAGTTTGATTGTGGTAAACAGCCCACAGAATTTCAGCTATTGAGAAGTTTGAAAAGTCGTATGTAAATACAAATTTAGCACAGAACAGTGGGTTTCTACCTCTATTTAGAATTAAAAATATTTTGTGTCTACTTATTTTTAACTTATATTTATTTAAAATGCAATAGCAGTAGCACAGACTTATATACCACTTTATAGTGATTTACAGTACTCTCTGGGTGGTTTACAATGTAAGCATATTCCCCCCCAACAATCTGGGCCCTCATTTACCACCCTTGGAAAGATGGAAGGTTGAGTCAACTTTGAGCCAGTCAGGATTGAACTCCTGACTGTGGGTAGAGTTAGCCTACAATATTGTATTCTAATCACTGCACCACCACAGCCATAAATCTGTCCTGTGATATCTCCTTCCAAGCAAAACTAACTTGCTCTGAAATAAATAACACTTGAATGTTTCTTTGTCCTTCTGTTGAAGGCCGAGACTTACATTTCTGGCAAATAGCATAAGCTACTACTGTATCTGGTGACAGGCCAGGAAAAATGAAAGAGATCAGGCATCCCTAATGTTTTTGGTGCCATTTCTTACTCTCTTCCCATCCTGTACCCATTTATTTGTTGGCATTATCAATTCTATTCACTGCATGTGTGAAAGGACAGATTGTGCCCTTCCTTGACCTCCAGAATAAATTGAAATCAATGGGAAAAAGATCAATATATCACAATCCTATTTAAATTACCGGGAAAGAGATTGAGCAGAATGTGCTTAGCATTAATGTGATCATATCCATGGACTTTATTAGGTTTATTTGTTATGATAAAGAGTTGGATGAAAGAGGCTTCAAATGAAAAAGCAGAATGCAAAGACATGAACACATCCAAACTTCACAGTGTTGTTACTTGGCTTTATATAGTCAGTAGGAATGCTGCTGAATATAAGTAATGTTGAACTGTGATTAAATTCACTTATTCAACTCCTGGGAATTTTTGTTTTGTTTTTGCTATTATAATTCCAAGAAGGGATTCTTGTCTGAATAAGAACGGGTTTTTTTTTAAATCTAAACTTCATTTTACTATAAAATCATTATGCCACTGTACTGATACAGAGATTTGTATGATGTCACAAACTCACCTCACTATCATAACTTTGCAGTAAATGCCATCTCATTTAATTGGAATAATGCTGTCTATCCCTTCCACCCCCTCCAAATTGAGATCATTTCCAAACTTCAACGGTAGGCATGAAGGTAGCGCTGATTCTGTTCTTACCACCCAGTCAACATAGAAATATCTTTACAGACTTCAAAGGTTTGGTTGTATATGATTTACAAGAGGAAAATCAATTCCTACCCAATTTCAGGCACAGATAAAGCTGTCTTAAGACTTGCAGGCAGAATAAATATATTTTTAGGGGGTTGCCAAAAAATGAAAGGTTAAAGAACTAGAAAAGTTTTCCTATCAATCCACACATACAAAGAACCCTGTGGAAAAATTGATGATTCTTAAGTACGTAGGCTGGGAAGGACTCTGCTTTTCTTAGCAATTATTGCCTACTGCATAGGTAGCTGTTTATTTAATATGTAGCTCTTTAACAAAGTTAACTTGGAGGATCACAAGATATTTAAATTTTAAAATTCAAAAGAAATATCAATGCATGTGTATGTGCTCCTACTCACCTGTATACCTTCTAAATTCTTTTTCTTGAATGACAGTTGTGTGAGGTGATCTTATACGAATCAGCGGATCTTACTTGAATCAACTTAGTTATTACTAAGTTTCCTACTTAATCAGTTATCACATCTTTAGTTAAAGAATCGAAAGAATGATGTGGAAAATGTCAACAATAATCTAAGGATATCAAAACTGAAGTCTATACTGTCTGTGATTTATTAAGCCAAGACAGTTTAAGATTAGGGCTGTTGTCTAGGATAGCAAAGTATGCTATATGCAGATGAAGTTTAGGTGACCCATATGAGGAACCTAGTGTTACATCTGCCTTTTTCACAATGGGTGTAAGAAACAGTTAGATAAAGTTCAAGGTTGGACTGCAAAGGATATGAGGATTGGCTAGCCACGTGTACAACTTCACAGCTGGCTATGCTACCTAATCTCCCTGAACATCTCTGCAAAATATGTTTAGGTATTTTACCCTAATGGAAGGATGTTTGCCAATTCCCTTAGCAAAAAGTTAATTTCATTATTCTGCAAGAGCAATTCAATATTAACAAATTTCAGAGCCTTCTAGAAATGAAACATTGATATTTACAATTAATGGGAGAAAATTACTTTTGCCTCTTGGAAATTCCCAAACTTTGTATGGGATAGCGCTAACAAAAACACCCATGAAGTTTGCTCTGCAGAATTTAAATACAGTGAAGTTATTTGTTTGAGGTGCAAATCTAATAGTGCTGATTTTGCAGTACCCCATGACCTCCTCGCAACAAAGCAGCAGTAGTGTATAAATATAGAGTTAAGATTTTCCTCTGCATTCTCTCTTTACCTTTCATTCTCTCTATTCTTGTCCAACACTGCTAATTGGAGATACTTTTTCTGTAGGCACACATGAATGGAACGGAATGGAATGGAATGGAATGGAATGGAATAGAATAGAATAGAATAGAATAGAATAGAATAGAATAGAATAGAATAGAATAGAATAGAATAGTTGAAAGGAACCTTGAAGGTCTTCTAGTCCAACTTGCTCAAGTAGGAGACCCTATACCATTCTGGACAAATGACTGTCCAATCTCTTTTTTAAAACCTCCAGTGATGGAGCTGTCACAGTTTCCAAAAGCAAGCTGTTCCAGTTATTGATAGTTTTATCAGGAAATTTCTCATTTCTAGGCTGGATCTCTCCTTGATTAGTTTCCGTCTTTTCCTTCTTGTCCCGCCTTCAGGCGCTTTCTTGTCCTGCCTTCAGGTGCTTCCTTGTGGCAGCTAGATCCTAGGCCTTTGCCTATATATTTCCTATAAATAAATTCACCTTCTGTTGTAAGTATTAAATCATTCTCAGGGATGCTTGGAAGCATATTTAGAATGGTTCAACCTCCAACATTATTATGTGAGTACTCAAATTTACCATTGCTCTGGCTCTATGGGACAGAAACTACAATCCTGATCTTTGGCTCTATGGGACAGTGACTATAATCCTTATCTCTCAGGACAACGGGGTTTAAAAAGCACAGCATTCAATCAGATGAAGGAATGGGTAGATATGGAGAAGAAGATTAAAAAACACAGTCCTTCCAAGAGTTCATCAGTGATCTTAAGTTTCCTCTCACTGTATTACATTGCTTGTTCCGGTCTGTCACTTATATTATGCTGCTGTCATCTGAAAGACCCAATGCTATTATATAAAAGAGTCAACAGGACAAAGGCGAAAGACATGAAGATGTGCCAGCACAAAACAATGGAAGAGAAAGAATTTATTTGGGAAGGTCTATGGAGGAGAATGAACAGTCTTTTGTTACCATAAATGGACAAAGGCACAATCAGTAAATTACATCTGTAACTACTTTTGCAATTAAAGTGAAACAAGGCACCACCCTACACATAATCCAATTTGTTTATATCTGCAATGGCAGCTAGAAGTGGATACTGAGATAAAAAAACTAGATCCCTAGATAATCTGATATCCAAAGCATAATCTGATGTCCAAAGCCAGTTCCTCCATTTATCTTTTCTTTTCTTTTGTCTGTTTACTCACCAGATTGTCGTACTGGCCCACTGTCAACACTGCCACCAAATCCTGCCTTGTCACAAAAGGGAGGACCCCAATGAGCCTCACAGTGGCAATTTTTTTTATTGTTGCAGACCTCAAAAGCAAAAGCATGTACACATATGAACATGGAAAACACTACCAAAGATTTATGCCTATCATAAAAATAAAAAAAAAGTAAATAAGGTACAGCAATCATACTTTGTGATGTTACAAAGACTACACCCTTTTATAGATTGTTCCAAATGTAACTCCAAGTGGAACAAAACTAATTGACTCCAGAATTAAAAAGTGTAGGATTACAGTACCTGCGTCCAGAATGATTTTGATAGCATTTTTTCTTCTACAATGTCCCCTTGAAGGAATGTAGACAATTTACTAGTTTGGAAGCTGCAATTCCAAAGGATGTAAATCTGATGTTACAACAGATCAAGGGCCCAGTATTTTGGGTCTCCCAATGGCCATAGTTACCTAACAATATTGTCACTAGATTGTTGCCATGCTAGAAGATTATGGAAAGGCAGCCCATTTTTCAAAGAGTTTGTTTGTCCCTAGAGTGTTATATATGCATTATTGTGAATAAGTTTAGTTCTCAGATTTACTAAATAAGTTTAAATTGCACCTAGTCTCACAAGACTGAAGAAGCTACAATGAAAATAGGTGACCAGTGGGTTCTCATTTGTGGTTTGGGCATAGATAGTTAAGTGTCTTACCGAAATACTTGTGAACACTGATGTATGCTAGAACAAAATATGCAAAATATTTAAGCATATGTGGCTAAGTTAAGCACTGCCTAAAAAGGAGCCTCCATCTTTGAAATTTAGAAGGTTGATCATTCAAGACAGAAAGAAATCATATCAGCTCCTATTATCATATATACATTCTGTCTTGTTTGATTATCTGAAACACTGTTTACAGTAATGGTGGATTATGCTTTTACTATATTTATATTTTAATTTCATAATTGATTTTCTCCCTGAACATTTCCTTAGAGACCTGAAGGATGGGCTGACTCACTAAATGTTTTCACTTCATTTTTTTTTGTAAAACATTTAAAAAATATTTCAGTTCTGTTACATCTCCTTGGCTGAACATGCCTATCCTCTGTTCCAAACAGATGGATATATTTGAAAGAATCCTTCACCCCAGCCTATTATGCCTGAAACATTAACAAGAGCATAAGTGAATTCATTCTAGTTTTTAAACTGCTGAATGTTAATTTTTGTAAAGATAAGGTCACCGTGACCAGCAATATTGCTTTGTCAAATAAAAGCCACATTTCCTTTCTTGGACATTGAAAGGGCATTGAAAATTGATCTTTCTGGAAGCAGAGGCTGAAAAAAACCTGACAGATATATTACAAAAAAATCACCGTTTTAAGCGCTGTAATCAATGAATGATTTATTGCTCAGCTGGAGATTGACTAACTATAAAAAATTGAATCTGTAATGCTTACCCCACGTCTGTGACATTTTGTCGCACATTCATGAACACCAAATATACTGGTGTTTTGGCAGCGGCGATTAAGACAGATCTGTAAAGACATAAGAACAGGCAAAAGAAAATTTATGGTATAAAGACCAAACAACTGGATTTTTCTTTCTGTACTGTATTTTTAATCCAACACAGAATTTCCAATCTCTTCTGGTTATGATTTTAAACTAAATTTTGATTTAGTATATTTAATAAATCTATCAACCAATATTGCACCATGAAATAACGTAGCAAGATGCTAAGATCTAAAGGGTTCTGAATGAAACATTTATTTATTACTTATTTATTTATTTGATTTGTCAATTCCTTACAAGATAATAGGTATAAGTATAAACATAGTTATGAATATATGAAATGGATACATATAAGAAAAATAAAAAGAAACAATAGGACACGGATGGTAGGCACGTTGGTGCGCTTGTGCACGCCCCCTACAGGCCTCTTAGGAAAGGGGTGAGGTAAACAGTAGACAGTTTAAGATTAAAGTTTTTGGGGTTTGGGGAAGAAACCACAGTGTCAGGTAGAGTATTCCAGACATTGACCACTCTGTTGCTGAAGTCGTATTTCCTGCAATCAAATTTGGTGCGGTTAACCTTGAGTTTGTATCTATTGTGTACTCTTGTATTGTTATGGTTGAAGCTGAAGTATTCATTGACAGGTAAGACATTGCAATGTATGATTTTATATACTATATTTAGATCTGACCGAAGGCGATGTAGTTCTAGGTTTTCTAGGTCTAGAGTTTTGAGTCTGGTGGCATAAGGTATTCTGCAACGATTAGAGGAGCGGAGAACTCTTCTTGTGAAATATTTCTGGACTTTCTCAACTGTGTTAATATCAGATACGTAATGTGGGTTCCAGACTGATGAGCTGTATTCGAGTATTGGTCTAGCAAATGTTTTGTATGCTCTAGTTATTAGTGTAATATTACCAGAGAAAAAGCTACGTAAGATTAGGTTAACAACTCTTAACGCCCCAGCCATGGCCATGTACTGTAGGTCCATGAGGAATTCTTAACTAAAGCTTATTGGAAACTAGATATGCATATTTTGGGATGGGATGAGTGGGCCACCAAACTGCTTTTTTAAGTGTGTGGCACCTACCAGAAAGAATTTATTTATCTAGATTTACATTGGGTCTATTTGGAAGTTCAGCAAATATTACAAATATACTGTTAATTTTCACCACTTCCTTCTCTGAAGATAATGGAAAGTAATCCTATATGTGAACATCATTGCTGTGTGTAGGTGTATTCAAGTCGGTTTTTGACTCCTGCATAGATTTTGGCAACTGCATAAATTAGTGTCTGCAATTTTCTTGGCAAGATTTTTAAAAAGTGGTTTGCCATTGTCCCCTTCCTAGGCTGACAGAAGGTCACCCAACTATCTTTGTGCCTAAGGCGGGACAAGTACTCACAGTCTTCTGGTTTCTAGCCTGGTGCTTCAATCACAAACTGACCGAATGAACATCACTGTTTGTGGAAACCTAAGTCAGCATTCCTCGACATGATGGAAGAGTTGGTGTACCCTCTTACATCCAACAATGGATGGAAACTAATCAAGAAGAGAAGCAACCTGAAATTAAGGAGAAACTTCCTAACAGCGAGAACAATTAACCAGTGGAACAGCTTGCCTCGTGAAGCTGTAGGGAGGTTCACTGGAGGTTTCTTAGGAAGAGACTGGACAGCCACTTGCCTGAAATGTATATGGTGTCCTGTTTGAACAGGGGGTTGGACTAGAAGGCCTCCAAGGTTCCTTCAAGCTCTATTCTGATTGATTAACTATGGCACTGTCCAAATTTGCATGATCCCTGTTTGTCCAATTTGAGGTGAGGTGGGGTGGGGGTTGAGTTTGGGTAAGGTTATATAAGAGAGACAAAAGAGAACAGGAATAAGATAAGGGGGCAAAGGTTCACCTCATGAATTACCATCTGCATGACAGAAGTGGAAAATCTGCTCTTCATCAATGTGAAGAGAAGCTAGTTTGAATTTAAATTTTAGAAGTCAGAGGCTTCTTACGGATGCAAACACAATTATGCAATATCATGCCAAAGAATTTTGTTCATCCAAGATATTTGTCAAAGCCTTTCTCTTCAACAATGGCATCTATATTAAGAGGCTTTAAAAAAAAGAATAATGTCAGAAGCAATTTGTGATAAGGTCAGCATTGGGGTGGAAAGCAACAGCTTGAAAAAACTCCCAAATATTTAAAAATTGAAAATTCAAAATGGGTAATGGCAGCGTTTTCTATTTTTTCTTCTTTCTGAAGAAGAACCCATAATAGCTAAAATATTTCAAATGTTGCCAGAGGTTAATTTCTGTCCACTATATATTAAGCCTATCTCACCCACCCCCCCCAAATTAAACTGCTTTCCTTTGTAAATTAGATGTATATGGACTCAAAGTTTAAACAGAATCATCATTTTATTGCAGGGTTAAATTAGCATTTGCCTGAGAAAATACATTTATCTTTTATTTATAGGGAAATGAATAAGAGGGAGTGGCATGTAATCGAATGTTCATTGTTCATGGAATCATCATAGAGAGTTAACTTCACTATTTCACTGGAGCTGAAACACAGGGACAGAGAAAGATTGACATCCCTATAAAAGCAGACTCACAATGCAAACTAAAATGACCCACTTACAGAGTGCCTGATATATCATCAGAGTAGAAGAAAGATTATACGGTGCAGGAATGGGTATTAATGCCAGGTCAACAATCAGATCTCTCCCATAATATCTGCTCTCCTTTAATTTGGGGACTTATTTCAGCAGGGCTAAAAGCCAGGCACAATTTTTATGAGCAGGCAGGGGGCAAAATGAAGCAGAACAGAATACTGACGCTTAATCAGGGTAGATTTCCCCTCTAGGGAAAGGGGAAATTAGGAAAGAAATGAAAGGGAACCGGCTTCACAACAAATAAAATATACCACTGAAGCCTCACAACAAACAAACAAACCATTCAGTATCCTATGGCACACCAAATTGTTTCTTTTTATTTACTTATTGCATTTATAACTCAACAGAAAAGAGCTCTCAGGGGGTCTATATTGGATCCTCTCCTAATTTTAATATCTCAAAACAGCCCTATAAACACTGCTCAGCTAGAGGAGAGTGACAGGCCAATGGCTGGATGACCACACTCCATTAAAGTGGCTGCTATTAAAATAAGAACAAAGATGAATTAAAAGCAGCTTCTCCTCCTCCTCCTCCTCCAAGTGTATTCCTGCAGATGTAGGGTCTGCTTTTCAGATAATTGAATACCACTTTGCACGGTTAGCTGTGTCTCTTGATGGTATCTTGCCATCTCTGCTTTGGATGACTGCAAGATCGCCGGCCATCAGGTTCTAGTTGGTAGGCTGTCTTGGCAATGATGGAAGGTGCTGCTCTCTGGACATGTCCATACCAGTGGAGCCATCCAGGCAGCAGTTTCCACTGTTTCCAAGACAGCCTACCAACTAGAAGCAGGTGATTGTACATTTTAATTCCATTGATTTAAATAACTATGGGTCTCATTGTTGGGGAAGACGTGCAAGCCACTCTCCCCCTCAGCATCCCTGCAGGCCACACGATGTCATCCTGGATATGGACGCCTTTTATAAAAGGATGGATTATTGGTACAGAGGATTTTAAAGATTAATATTCAACTGAAGCAGGAAATTGTCTTTTAAGGATTAAAGGATAAATAGATAAAAGCCATGGAAGACTATTCCAATATATGATTAAAGCAGCAGAATTATTATATGTGCATAGTTAGAAAGATTCTATGTCGGAATGGTTGGTGAAGTTGACATATTTGAAACAGTTAAACTGATTTCTTTGATTAGAAAAAAGACATTATCTATTTTCATTGATGATAGGAAGCCTCTTATAGACTTTTTGCATAAATATAACATAACTTTGATTTATGGTTTTGATGCCAAGATGGGATAAATTAATCGAGAGAGGAGTAAGATGTTGTAACTTTAGGAGGGAGAGGCTAGAATATATTTGTAGTTATATATTTCTGTAAAGAATGTTGAAGACACTTTTTATATCTTTTTCTTTCTTCTTTATTTTTCTTCAACTTGTTTGATATTGAAATACTTTATGTTAGGTTTGGAGAATAATGGAGACCAGACATCTGACCAGTGACTTCAACTCTTTAATAATAGTAAATAGAACAGAACAGAGCAAGGCTATGGGCAGCAGTAACCCTTTTATAGGGTTAGCTGCTACCTTATTAACCAATGACATGTGCAACAAGTTCAAACTAATAACCAATGAGAAGTGTCAAAATAGTGGCCAATCAGGGACTAGTTATGGACCAATCCCTAGTTGTTGTATAAGGACCAATCAGGTGTGCAGGTTTCCAAACCCTGATTTGCATTTATGCTAGTAACTTTTATTGATTCACAACACTTTAAGTCAACGTACTCAGGTGCATCTGCAAAGAATTGTAATTCCATCCAAACTATGATGCAGACACATTGTGATGCAAATGCTGTTCCTGATGTACCATGTGTGAGATGTTGCTGTGCCGTTTTCCTTTCCCTGCTCTCCTTCTAGGACGCTGATGAAGATATTTTTATGGCTATTTCTGTGCTCAATTAAATTCGAACTTCTAACAAAATGAAGATCAGATGGCATGATTTTTTCCCTAGTAAATATATGCTGGTTCCTAGCAAACAGTTTATTATTTTCTAAATATTCACAAACTGACTACTTAATAATCTGTTCTAAACTTTCAAGCTCACTTTCAAGCTTACTTGCCTGTATGAGAGGATATTCTGTTTTCATATATAATGCCAAACTTCTCCTCCTTATGCCTTTTAAACGACTTATGCCCCTGAGTTTTGCATTCTGCTCATGAGTTCCATCTATCAAGTTTCAGTAATACCTTCTAAGTCATAAGATCTTTACTTTTCCTTGCTTGTTCCTCATACTTTGGGTAGATGGATAAAGGTCATGAAATCCTCAATTCATCAAACTTGACTTGTCCCTTCCTTTAATTATATGTTCTTTATTGAATATTTCCACATCCTGCTATCCTTCCCTGTC